TATATATATATATATATATATATATATATATATAAATATATGAAATATATATATATATGAAATTTTAGACCTTTTTTTACTCAAATTTATGCCTATTTTGTCAGTTTTCCCTCAAATGTTTGTCTTGCATTTCAGCTGTGTTTTGTTTTGGGTGTTTTCTGGATGTATTTTTGCTGCCCTCTGCTGGTCAAACGCCAGTATTTCAGTTTAAAAGATTTTTGTGTGACAACCTGCTCCTGTTTGTGTAATTGTGATTTGTTGGTGTGTTATTCTGCTGTTGTTTGTGTAATTCTGCGTCAGATGTGGACGAGTGCGTCAGTAACCCGTGTGTGAACGGAGACTGTGTCAACACTCAGGGGTCGTATCACTGCAAATGTCACGAGGGTTATCAGGGAACGCCCACCAAACAGGCCTGCATCGGTTCGTGTCTTTATATTTCATGGCAGAAATGTGGATCAGTTTTACAGCTAAAACATGTTTAAATCTCACCATTTACAATGCTTTAGAGATACAAAAAAAAAAAACACTGTTGTGCCTTAAATTACTATTTCTTATGTTATTTTCTTGCTGTTATTATTATTATTATTAATTATTTTCCCAAATAAAATACAAATTAAAAATAAAAATGTGGCAATATATAGAAAAATATATTTAACTTTATTGATTATAATGTGAACAGGCACACGATTTGTTATAGTTCACTAAAAGATAAAAACCATACAACTAAAATATGAGAGAAATAATTGAAACTTATATATATTACAGACATTTATTAGGTATATAAATTCAGCCTAATTAATTTGGTATGTTAAATTATAAAACTTTTAGTAGTCATTTTACTTTATATTCACATTATATACTTGCGCCCCATTCACACGGGGCTACAGCATCAACGCTTGACAGAGGGCGTGTCTGAAATTGGGGCTGATGTGATCGTCATGGCAACGTCAGCCAATTAAATTAGTTAGCAATAGGCTACTGTCTGAGCTGGTGTATTTGCATACAGCGATCTGATTGGCTAACGCTTCCGTTGGCGCTTGAAAAGTTGAGCAAGTCCCAACTTTTGCAGCGAGCAATGCCTCTGAAGCGGCGCTGACGGATCCACAATGCAGTTCGGCAACGCCTGACGTCACCTGTTCAACGTGAATGGGAAGCGTTGAAGCTGATGCCCCGTGTGTATGGGGCATTATACTTAATATTTGTGTATTAAGTGTATATGTTATAAATTCCTCATCGCCCTCTGCTGGTCAGCTGTAATAATAATGCGCTTGTGTTTTTCTCAGACATCGACGAGTGTATTGTGAACGGCGTTATGTGTCGTAACGGACGCTGCGTGAACACAGATGGAAGTTTCCAGTGCATCTGCAATGCTGGCTTCGAGATCAGCCCTGATGGGAAAAACTGCATCGGTAAGAGATTATAGACCACCAAATACGCGATAGTTCACGAAAACGTCTGAAGACAAATATCCAGATGATGAGAGTTCTACTATTTTGATCCACATTTAACTTAAAACAAAGCTCATATGACAATTTAAAGTGTTTGACATTGTGCTGGAGTCTCTTAAAACAGGTTTAAATGCGTTTAAAGTCAGAAAGTATGCTAATTTAATATGTAACTTTAAAATAAATTCACGATCATTTTGATTCATTTTATTTGAATCAAATCAGTGCCTAAAGTGTGTAACCCCCTCCCCCTTCCTTAAGCCAGCTCTGCTCTGATTGGCCAGTTGGCCAAGTCTGTTGGCCTGAGTGTTCGTTAGTTCGTTTTTTTTTTTAGACACATAATCCAGCTCTGCTCTGATTGGTCAGCTGGCTGAGTATTTTTTGATTGGTCTATCCGAGTGTTCGTATGTCGTGGATAGGCTGGGATTTATGCAAATGAGTCACTTTAATCATGTTGATGAAGATCTGTAGCAGGTAAAGATTTTTTAAAAATTACGATTCGTTGAGGAGATTCAGAGTCGACTCTTTCTTTTAAGACACATGATCCAGCTCTGCTCTGATTGGTCAGCTGGCCAAGTCTTTTTTCAGTGTTTGTAATTCGCAGACAGGTGGAGATTATGCAAATGAGTCACTTTGATCATGTTGTTGTAGATCGGCAGCAGGTACAAGATTCAAAATATAACGATTCGTTAAGGCGATTCTGAGTCGATTCAGTTTCTTTTGAGACACAATATCTTTTTTAATCATGCTCTTTTTTGATAAACGACTCTGTAGACCGTTTTCATTGAAGGACAGCCACATAATCTGCTCTTTGATATTTGCCATGTTCACCTTTTTCAGTCATCTCTCTGGCAGAGAATCAATATATTTCCTGAGATCTTTAATATTAATGTTAATTCCTTTGGAAAGTGCCAAGTAATTTGGCTTCTTCTATGAAGGAACGTGATTGTGTGGCATTGGCAGTGAAAAAAGGGATTGTTATTAATATGGAAAATGACCTAAATATCCTTATTATGGCTCTATTCTGTGGTTTATAGATCACAATGATGATTTTCTGCATAATCCGTTCATTTAATAAGTATTATAAAGGCCAACAAAAATGACAAAATGTCCCTTAAATATGGCAAGTGTTCTTATAATTCAAGCCACTGTACATCTTTTAATACTTTCACTTAAATATAGAAACTTCACCTCTTTAAATGCTGATGATTTAGTTGAACAGATGCTTTATGAATTTCTTTGACTAGTAAGGATGTCAGAAAGTCAACCTAAAAGGTTTTGGCTATTAATTTTGTTGATTATATCAAGTTTACATGCTAAAACAAATATTTGCCACTGTATTTTAGTGTATTTCCACTAACATTAAGAGGCACTTTTCTGGTCCCCCAGATCATGATGAATGTGCCACTACCAACATGTGCCTCAATGGAATGTGCATAAACGAAGACGGCAGCTTCAAGTGCATCTGCAAGCCTGGGTTTGCATTGGCGCCCAATGGACGCTACTGTACTGGTGAGTTTATTAAACCCCAAAAACCATTTACTCACACCAATATCTGTCAAACTGCATCAAATAACACAAAAAATCCTACAAATATGTTATAAAAGTAGCTTTGTAAATTCCGCGCTATATTCGTAGTCTTCAGTTTGCATGAAAAAAACTGACGTCAAATCGATAAAATTTTATTTGTGTTTGCGTGTTTTTGCAAGTGTATGTCCTGCGGCTTTAATGACCAAAATTGGGGTTATTCTCTAATATTCCTTAAGCATAACTCTTAAAATGTCAATTTTAATGTCAATTGAGACAAACAAACATATTAAATCATTTTCTCGTTTACAAAACAAGTTTTGTGCAATTAACAGAAGCTAAATTGCGCTTAGCTTGCGCCCTTTTGCAAATTTGATGTCAAATCTATTACATTTTCTAACCGTTTGTCTTAAGCGAACAAAGTTCAAGTTGTTTTTTTTTTTTAATTAGTTTCCGTTAAACAACTCTTAAAATCATATTTTTAATCTAAATAAAAAAAAACAAACTAAATAAAATGTCTTTATTTCTGGTTCACAAAACAAGGTTGTTGCGATTAACAGATGCCAAATTGTTAAACTATCTTAATATCTTTGCTCGTGCAATTTAGCAAATTTGACATCAAATCTAACGTAAGAATTTTCTAATTATTTGTCTTAAGTGACTAAAGCTGAAGTCGTTATTCTTTAAAAAAACACGTTCCTATTTAATTACTCTCATTTAAAATCCCACAAAGGTGCTACAAAAGTAGTTTTGTAACTTCTGTGTTATATTCAAAGTTTTCAGTTTGCATGGGAAAAAAACTGACGTCAAATCGATTAAATCTTGATTAAAATTTGTGTTTCCCTGTTTTTGTAAGTGTAGGTCTCGCGTCTTTAATGACCCAAATTCAAGTTATTCTCTAAAATTCCATAAGCATAACTCTTAAAATCTCATTTTAATCCTGGTTAGAAACAAACAATAATATATATTTTTTAAATTTTCTTGTTCGCAAAACAAGAATTGTGCGATTAAATGATGCTAAATTGCAAAAATTTTATCTCAGTTTACAAACTTTGACATGATAATTTCTAATATAACTACTCTTAAAATCGCATTTGCATTCAGGTTTATTTGCGCATCTTTGGTTCATGTTTGATATCAAATTTGAACACCAAACCAAACGTTGAACTATTTATTGACGTGATGTTCTTTAACATTTGATACTAATTTCTTCTTCGACAGACATTGATGAATGCCACACCTCCGGCATCTGTATGAACGGCCGCTGCGTGAACACTGAGGGCTCTTTCCGCTGTGAGTGTCCTCCAGGTCTAGCCATCGATGTGGACGGACGCGTCTGCGTGGACACCCACATGCGCACCACCTGCTACGGTGCAATAAAAATGGGCGTATGTTCACGACCTTTCCCTGGCGCAGTCACAAAGTCCGAATGCTGCTGCGCCAACCCTGAACATGGTTTCGGAGAGCCTTGCCAACCCTGCCCAGCGTTCAACTCCGGTAAACCACAACCACACACCTTCCTACATGCATTAGCATATTAGCATGTTAGCTAACATAGTTTGCTTGTTCAGCCGAGTTCCAGGCGGTGTGCAGCAGTGGACCTGGGATCACTACAGACGGACGAGGTAAGTTTTTCGTTATCGCTCTCTTGACCATCTGCAAATGCTAAATACTAATGTTTTCCCTTTCTTTGTAGATATAAACGAATGCGCTTTGGATCCAGACATATGTCAAAATGGGATTTGCGAGAATTTGCGCGGGAGCTACCGTTGCATCTGTAATATCGGTTATGAGTCTGATGCTAGTGGGAAGAACTGCGTGGGTAAGTTGCGTTATTATTTGAGTTGCGCTACTATCCGTGTTTAATTTCTTTTGTAATTAAATTTTTTTGCGTATCTTTGCATATTTATTGGATACAGATGTCATAATGCATCATTTTACTGCATTTGAATATGTTTTTTTTTTTCAAAAGTAATATAAACAACCAATACCAATATTATGGCTAAAATTATAAACATACATTTTTTTATCCTTTAAAACCTAAAATGTTCTGAAACATCTTATAAAAACAAAAATTTAATATTTTAGTCATTTTAAGAAAATTTGCCGATAACCGATATCAAACTGATATTGCACATCCAGAGTTATTATTTTCAGGTTTCAATAATTTATTAGCTACAGACAGCATAATGCATCATTTTATTTACTATGAATGTTTTTTCAAAACCGATATTAGCAACAAGATACCAATATTATGGCTCAGATTATAAACATTTACATTTTTATCCTTTAAAAAGCTTATTTGTTAAAAAAAAATTTTAAAAACACAAGTTTTATTAGTCATTTAATAAAATTTACCGATAACCGATATTAGACTGATATTGTACATATGAAAAGTCTGTTTAAAAAGTTTTATATTTTCAGCTTTTAATTATTTATTGGCTACAGACAGCATAATGCATCATTTTATTTTATACAAATATATTTTTTCCAAACCGATATTAGCAATGCGATACCGATATTATGGCTCAGATTCTAAACACTTATATTTTTATCCTTTAAAAACCTGAAATGTTCTGAAACATGCTCTGAAAACATGAATCTGAACAGTTTTGTCATTTAATAAAATTTACAGATAACCGATATTATGCATGTAAAAAAGCTGGTAAAAAAAGTGAATTATTTTCAGGTTTCAGTGGTTTATTAGCTACAGTCAGCATAATGCATCATTTTATTTCATACGAATATGTTTTTTCAAAACCGATATTAGCAACTGATACCGATAATATGGCTCAGATCATAAACATTCCCATTTTTTAATCCATTAAACACCTGAAATGTTCAGAAAGATTCTATAAAAAAAATAATTTTAATAAAGTAGTTCTTTAATAAAATTTGCCAAAAACCAATATTAGACTGATATTGTACATTTGAAAACCCTGTCTAAAAAGTTTGTTAATATTTTCAGTGTTCAATGAGTTTTTGGCTACAGACAGTATAATGCATCATTTTTGCGTATCTTTCAGACATTAATGAGTGTTTGGTGAACCGCTTGTTGTGTGACAACGGCATGTGTAGAAACACACCTGGAAGCTACACCTGTTCCTGCCCCAAAGGATTCTCCTTCAAGGCCGACTCTGAGACTTGCGAAGGTTTCAGAATTTTAACCCTTTAACCCTTTTTAACACTAACCCTTTTGTGAATTTCATTCTTACCTATGGTCCTCTTGTTTAGACATCAACGAGTGCGACTCCAACCCCTGCATCAATGGCATTTGCCGCAACATAGCTGGTTCCTTCAACTGCGAATGTTCGCACGGCAGCAAGCTGGACTCCACAAACACCGTCTGCGTAGGCAAGTACAAACAATTGTTTTAGGTTACAGAAGAATGCAGTTGTGATAAGTGAAAAGTGTTTATGGTTACAGTATTTTCTGCTTGGTGTATCTGTTTTGGGGAGTTAAACGGCTATTAAATGTATTTTTTTTAAATTGCAACTAATTAAACAACTAAAACATACTTTCAAGATTACGTTATTAGCGTTTTCAGATACATTCATGTAAGCATTTGTGCTCAGATTTTATCAAGGTTCTGGCCTCTTTTTTGTTGCATGTTTGCAATATTAAATATATCGGTGACGTATCGTTTTCGCAATATTTCTTAGATAATCATTTTTATTGGTTAAAAAATATATAAATTATCGGCTGATAAATTATGAATTATTGTGACATTTGGATCACTTTAAATGCATACTTCTGGCTATGGTTTCTACTGGTACATACAGGTTTTAACTGGTTTTTCACAAATATCGGTATGTACAGCTATTCTTAGTTTTCTGTATTTTACAATTTATAGTTATGCATCTGAGTTAAACATAACGTTTCTTTTCTTATGTAAACCACTGATTAAATATCATCCCAATTTGAAACTAAAATGTTGTCATTTAGAGAATTTATTTGCATAAAAGAACAAAAAGATGCAATGTTTTCACTTCTAGTCAACACAACAAGAGCATTTTAAGTTCAATAAAACAAAAGGAAAAGATCTGAGCTTCTGACCAATTTTAATTTCTCAAAAAACACAAGAAAACTGTTTTAAAAGACAAAATTTGTACTTGAAATTTGAAAGAAATGTAAGCAAACCTTTATAGAGTAAACTAGTATTACTATTTGACTTAACCCCACGCCTAATAAATCAATTAAAGTGGACCTATTATGCAAACATCACTTTTGTAAGGGGTTTACACACAGTTGTGTGTCAGCAGTGTGTGAACATAACCAGCCTCTAATGGTAGGGAAAGCCCCGCCCACTAGTGACAATTTCTACCTTATTAGCATAAACAGCCCTTAGTGAGAAGCAGCCATCCACCATTAGAGTTTTGAATCTGCCACTATGCTGACACATAGGTATTTATAGCTCCGCCCTCTTCTGAAAAGAGTACAATCTCATTTGCATTTAAAGCGACAGTCACCAAAACGGCACAATTAGGATCAAAGCCTAAAAGGGTCAGTTTCAGAGAGTTATAAACATTAAATGTGTATTATTTTGAGCTGAAACTTCACACACACACACACACACACACTCTCTAGGGACATCAGAGACTTATTTGACATCTTGTAAAATGGGGCGTAATAGGTCCACTTTAAATGCAAATTTTCAAGTGGTCTCTTAAATTTTTCCATAGTTGTATATAGAATCATTGAAAAAGCTTCAATGCAAACAGTGATGTGCGTGTCAATGTTTATTTTCCTGACGCCACTTCTATTCATTTCCAGCCAGGCATGTTTTTCATCTTCGTCTGAAGCCGAATGTTATTTGATTGAAATTAATGGAGTATGAAGGCAATAGGTCGCGCAGTTGTGCTTTCAGGATGAATAGCCGCAGTGATATCAGAGCTGGTTTTTATATATCTGCAGAAACGCGCTGACTCTCCGCACGTCCATTTATCATTGTCACACACTTTTGTGGGTTGTGTTTGACATCTTTGCTCCATGCAGACAGCATGAAGGGGACCTGCTGGCTGAATATCCAGGACGGCCGCTGCGAGGTGAATATAAACGGGGCCACGCTGAAGTCTGAGTGCTGCTCCACGCTCGGGGCCGCCTGGGGAAGCCCATGTGAACGCTGCGAAATCGGTCAGTTCATGAGCTTTACACGACCAAACTGACAAATCTTGTCAGCCATATTAATAATAAGATTAAATGTTATGACATTTTCCAGCATTTTATTTATGGATCATGGTTTGGCCCTAAAATACTCAGTAATTGTCATGTGAAATATTTAGACTTGAATAATTTGTATTTTTATTTAATATTAAGAAAATTCATTCGAAAAGCTTAGGTATAAAGCAAATATATATATATATATATATATATATATATATATTAAAATGATAGAAATATGAATATATAAATTTAATACAAATATAACTATGTTTGCAGGGGCTAATGGGGATCTAAATAAACAACAATGGCTTGTTTACAAGTAGTTTTTATTTATTTAAATGATAATAAAATACAAAAAAAAGACTTCTTTTATATATTTTTATTTATTAATTATAATTCATATAATGATTATTAATAATATTCAATATTTTTATTTGAAATATGAAAATACAAACTCTTGAATTAATAATAGTAATAATAATCATAAAAATAATAATAATTATTATTATTATTATTATCATTATTGATTATTATTATTGTTATAGTATTATTATTATCATCGTTATTATTATTTTTGCCATTTAAATCTAACATACATTGCTTATATACACTATAGCACTTATTTATAAAATGTTTTTAAATATGTCTTTATTTTAATTTGATAACTGATCCATTTGGTAAAATATATTTATTTATATTTCTTCCTATTTATAAATATTTTATTCATGATACTTTTACCATTTTATGGTCTACAGCAAAAGATTTTAATTATAAATAGTATTAATACTAATAATTATATCATTTTAAATAGCATTAGTATTATTATTATCCCCTTTTAAACAAAACAGAAATTTTTTCATTATTATTTTAATTAAATTGTAAAAATGTATTAGTTATTTTGGCCGTACTATTGAGGAAACAGAATAACATATTCAGCATTTTGATTATATATTTTTACAGATCCAGCCTGTTCTAAAGGGTTTGGTCGCATGAAGGGACTTGTATGTGAAGGTAGGCTCTACCCACAATTCTTTGCTGCATTTTCCCTGCACATGCTGTGTTTTCTTGCATGATGATGCAGGTTTGTTTGTGTTGTATCTTCAGATATCAATGAGTGTGAGGTGTTTCCGGGTGTCTGTACAAACGGCCGTTGTGTGAACACTCAGGGCTCTTTCAGATGTGAGTGTCCTGAGGGACTTACACTGGATGGAGCCGGACGAACATGTGTTGGTATGCATCTTTTAGCTTTGCTTTCTCTAATTATTTACTTATTTAAGTGAATTATTAGATGCAGACAGCATAATGCATCATTTTACTTTATATGAATATTTTTTTACAACCGATATTAGCGACAAATACCGATATTATGGCTCAGATTTTAAACATTTACATTTTTTTTTTGCCTCGCCATTTTTATTCTTTAAAAACCTGAAATGTTCTAAAACAGCTTAGATAAATAAACATAGATTTAATATTGTAGTCATTTTAAGACAATTAGCTGATAACCGATATCAAACTAATATTGCACATAAACAGTTAATATTTTTAGGTTTCGATGATTTAGTGGCTACAGACAGCATAATGCACCATTTTATTTAATATAAATTAGTTTTTTCAAAACCTATACTAACAACCGATACTAATATTATGGCTCAGATTATAAACATGTACATTTGCATCTTTTAAAAACCTGGATTGTCCAAGAACATATTCTAAAAGCACCAATTTTAATAGTTTAGCCATTTAATAAAATTTGCCGATAACCGATATTAGACTGATATTGTGCATTTAAAAACCCAGTTTAATGTTCAATGATTTATCAGCTAAAAACAGCATAATACATCATTTTATTTAATATAAATATATATTTTCAAAACCGATATTAGAAACAGATACAGATATTATGGCCCAGATTTTAAACATCTTATTTTTTTATCCTTTAAAACTTAAAAATGTTCTGAAACAGCTTATTAAACATCGATCTTAATATTTTAGTCATTTTTTAAAAAATTAGCCGATAACCGATATCAGAACGATACTGAATATCTAAAATTTTTGAAATCCTTTTAAAAAGTTTGGTAATATTTTCATAATTCAATTTTTAATTTTATACACATATGTAAATCATTTTATTTAATATGAATGTTTTTTAAAACCGATATTAGCAACTGATACTGATATTATGGCTAAGATTATAAACATTTGAATTTTTATTATGCTTTAAAATTCTGAAACGTTATAAAACATCTTATAAAAACAAAATGTTAAAATTATATAAATTTTAAGAAAAATAGATTATAACCAATATCAGACAGATTTTTACATATACAAACTGTTTTAAAAGTTTGCTAATATTTACAACTTTTAAATATTTGTTGCCTATAGAGAGCATAATGTATCATTTTATTTAATATGAATATGTTTTATTCCAAAACAATGTCAGCAACTGATACCGATATTATGGCTGACATTATAAACAAACATTTTTAGCATTTAAAAACATGAACATTTACAAAAAAACATTCATAAAAACAGAACATTTTAGTCATTTAAGAAAATTTGCTGATAACCGATATTAGACTAATTTGAAACCCTGTGTAAAAAGTTTGCTAATATCTTCAGCTTTCTTCCAACTTCCAACAACAGATTAATATACTGATAATATACTGATAATTTTGAAAACCTTCATATTTGATTCCGATTTTTGGGCTAACATAAATTAGGGCACATAATAATAGTATATTTAAGATTTTCTTAAAAAATTTGAATCATAAATAATGTGTGTGTGTATTCTGCAGACGTGCGCAGTGAGCAGTGTTATATGAAGTGGGATGAGGACGAATGTGTGGAGCCTTTGCCGGGCCGCTATCGTGTGGACATGTGCTGTTGTACAGTGGGTGCAGCGTGGGGTGTGGACTGTGAGGCCTGTCCAAAACCAAACACTAATGAATTCAAGACTATCTGCCCTCGAGGACCCGGAATCGCCAATCGCGGAGACATTCTGACTGGGAGACCCTTCTACAAAGGTAAACAATATTAAAAATTGATTTGCAAGTTGACAAATGTATACGATTTGTTTGCAGTTTTTGTTAGCAGATGACTTTGTGAGTATGCAATAACGTGTTTCTGTCCACAGATGTGAATGAGTGTAAGGTGTTTAGGGGGCTCTGCACTCACGGCACGTGTCGAAACACTATCGGCAGCTTCAAGTGTCGCTGTGATAGTGGTTTCGCCCTGACAATGGAGGAGAGGAACTGCACAGGTACACATCTCACCTTTTTAATACCGATAATCTTGAGAAAATCATAATTAATACCGATATTATTGCTTACATTATGTATGTAAACATTTTAGTGCTTTTAAGTTTTAAACATGTAAAATAATCTGTTAGTAACCAATATTGGCCGATAATGTTCATCTGAAACATGTAAAATAATCTGTTAATAACCGATATTGGCAGATATTGTCCATCTGAAACATGTAAAATAATCTGTTGATAACCAATATTGTTTATCTGAAACATGTAAAATAATCTGTTAATAACCAATATTGTTCATCTGAAACATGTAAAATAATCTGTTAATGACCAATATTGTTCATCTGAAACAAGTAAAATAATCTGTTTATAACCAATATCGGCCGATATTGTTCATCTGAAACATGTTAAATAATCTGTTAATAACAGATATTGGCCGATATTGTTCATCTGAAAAATGTAAAATAATCTGTTAATAACCAATATCGGCCGATATTGTTCATCTGAAACATGTAAAATAATCTGTTAATAACAGATATTGGCCGATATTGTTCATCTGAAACGAGTAAAATAATCTGTTAATAACCAATATCGGCCGATATTGTTCATCTGAAACATGTAAAATAATCTGTTAGTAACCAATATTGGCCGATAATGTTCATCTGAAACATGTAAAATAATCTGTTAATAACCGATATTGGCAGATATTGTCCATCTGAAACATGTAAAATAATCTGTTGATAACCAATATTGTTTATCTGAAACATGTAAAATAATCTGTTAATAACCAATATTGTTCATCTGAAACATGTAAAATAATCTGTTAATGACCAATATTGTTCATCTGAAACAAGTAAAATAATCTGTTTATAACCAATATCGGCCGATATTGTTCATCTGAAACATGTTAAATAATCTGTTAATAACAGATATTGGCCGATATTGTTCATCTGAAAAATGTAAAATAATCTGTTAATAACCAATATCGGCCGATATTGTTCATCTGAAACATGTAAAATAATCTGTTAATAACAGATATTGGCCGATATTGTTCATCTGAAACGAGTAAAATAATCTGTTAATAACCAATATCGGCCGATATTGTTCATCTGAAACATGTAAAATAATCTGTTAGTAACCAATATTGGCCGATAATGTTCATCTGAAACATGTAAAATAATCTGTTAATAACCGATATTGGCAGATATTGTCCATCTGAAACATGTAAAATAATCTGTTGATAACCAATATTGTTTATCTGAAACATGTAAAATAATCTGTTAATAACCAATATTGTTCATCTGAAACATGTAAAATAATCTGTTAATGACCAATATTGTTCATCTGAAACAAGTAAAATAATCTGTTTATAACCAATATCGGCCGATATTGTTCATCTGAAACATGTTAAATAATCTGTTAATAACAGATATTGGCCGATATTGTTCATCTGAAAAATGTAAAATAATCTGTTAATAACCAATATCGGCCGATATTGTTCATCTGAAACATGTAAAATAATCTGTTAATAACAGATATTGGCCGATATTGTTCATCTGAAACGAGTAAAATAATCTGTTAATAACCAATATCGGCCGATATTGTTCATCTGAAACATGTAAAATAATCTGTTAATAACAGATATTTGCCAATATTGTTCATCTGAAACATGTATAATAATCTGTCAATAACCAATATCGGCTGATATTGTTCATCTGAAACATGTAAAATAATCTGTTAATAACAGATATTTGCCAATATTGTTCATCTGAAACATGTATAATAATCTGTTAATAACCAATATCGGCCGATATTGTTCATGTGAAACATGTAAAATAATCTGTTAATGACCGATATTGTTCATCTGAAAATTTATAATAATCTGTTAATAACCAATATCGACCGATATTGTTCATCTGAAACATGTATAATAATCTGTTAATAACCAATATCGACCGATATTGTTCATCTGAAACATGTAAAATAATCTGTTAATGACCGATATTGTTCATCTGAAAAATGTATAATAATCTGTTAATAACCAATATCGACCGATATTGTTCATCTGAAACATGTATAATAATCTGTTTATAACCAATATCGGCCGATATTGTTCATCTGAATCATGTATAATAATCTGTTAATAACCAATATTGTTCATCTGAAACAAGTAAAATAATCTGTTAATAACCAATATTGGCTGATATTGTTCATCTAAAACATGTAAAATAATCTGTTAATAACCAATATTGTTCATCTAAAACAAGTAAAATAATCAGTTAATAACCAATATCGGCCGATATTGTTCATCTGAAACATGTAAAAAAAATCTGTTAATAATCGATATTGGTCGATATTGTTCATCTGTATTGTTACCAGTGATTAAAAACATGGTTTAAATAGGTCTGCTAATATTTTTGGCTTTCATTGTCAACCTAATCTATTGAAAAATATGAAAGCATCAATCTTTGATACCGATTTTATGGAAACGTTTATGAATCTACTTTTGAAACTTGTCAAACTTACCTGACCATCTTACATTTGATTAATATTAATTGGATATTTGTTTACATTTCAAATACATGGTCGATAATTGATACTGACTGATATATATTTTGTTACTCTATTTTTGTTACTCTATATGCAAGTAAATTTAAGAGAAATATACAAAATACAAAAAAACATCTGTAACGTTTTTCCCCATGATTCCTGCAGATATCGACGAATGTACGATCTCTCCGGACCTGTGTGGTCATGGTGTGTGTGTGAACACACCAGGCAGCTTCGAGTGCGAGTGTTTCGACGGCTACGAGAGCGGCTTTATGATGATGAAAAACTGCATGGGTGAGTGTCAGAGCAGTGGTGTTTTATCTGAGATTGTGCTGGTGGCCTCTTCATGTGTGTGCTTGTGTGTGTTTTAGACATTGACGAGTGCGAGCGTGACCCACTGCTGTGCCGTGGAGGGACGTGTCTGAACACTGAGGGCAGCTACGAGTGCGACTGTCCTCCAGGACACCAGCTCAGTACTGAGGCCTCTGCTTGTGAAGGTACAGTATAGTGTTTGTCTTTGTGTGAAGCTGACATTTTGGTTTAAGTTTTAGTCACGTTCATACTATTTTTAGTCTACTCAGGTTTTAGTCAAGCATTTTAGTCTTATTTTAGTCAGAATCACGAAAACTGATGACGTTTACACCTGTCTGGTAACATTTTTCTGCAATTTTTGAAATGTTGTCCATATTTTTGACTGATTTCTCTCTATCAGATGTGAACGAGTGTCAGCTGAGTGACAATCTGTGTAAACACGGTCAGTGTGTGAACATGGTGGGAACATACCAGTGCTCATGTGAAACGGGATACCAGGTGACGCCCGACAGACAGGGCTGTGTGGGTGAGCAGACGCACACACAACACACAAACAGAGAGGTTTGTTTTCCTATCTTAGCGAGGACATATTATAGACTTCCATTGTTTTTCTATCAGGGTAGTTACACTGTCTATGGCCAAACCACAACTCTACCCCGACAAACTTTATATTTTGAAGTTTTTTTTAATCAACTTCAGTTCCAAAATTTTCAAAATAGTTGCATCTCTGCTAAATATTGTCCTAACAAATATCATACGTTACTGAAAGCTTATTTATTCAGCTTTTGAATTGTGTTTAAATCTCAATTTTCTTTAAAACACACTCTTTTTCTCTCCATATGCACCACACACCTGATAAGCACCTCATACTTCTTTTAAAAAGCATTGTGCAATTCTAAGTGTGCTTGACGCAGGTGAGTGGGCTTAACAAACCACCTGTAGCTGACACTCTTTTTCTCTCCATACGCACAACACACCTTATAAGCACCTCATACTTCTTTAAAAAAAAAGCATTGTGCGATTCTGAGTGTGCTTCATGCAGGTGAGTGGGCTTGACAAACCACCTGTAGCTGACACTCTTTTCCTCTCCATATGCACCACACACCTTCTTATAAGCACCTCATACATCTTTAAGAAAGCATTGTGCGATTCTGAGTGTGCTTCACGCATGTGAGTGGGCTTGACAAGCTGCTTGAACTTCTTTCTGAGAGTGATCCACTCAGGTGAGTGGGTTTGACAAACCACCTGTAGGAAACACACACTTTTCCTCTCCATATGCATCACACACTTTCTTATAGGCTTCTCAAACTTCTTAAAAACATTGTGCGATACCGAGTATGCTCCACATAGGTGGGTGGGCTTGACAAACCACCTGTATGAGAAACACTGTTCTCCTCTCCATATGCACCACACACTTTCTTATAGGCTCACCATATTTCTTTAAAAGCACTGTGAGATAATGAGTGTGCTCCACTTAGGTGAGTGGGCTTGACAAACCACCTGACACTCTTTTCCTCTCCATAAGCATCACACACCTTCTTATAAACACTTCATACTTCTTAAAAACATTGTGCGATACTGAGTGTGCTCCATACAGATGAGTGGGCTTGACAAACCACCTGTAGAAGACACACTCACTCTATTTCTCTGCATATGCACCACACATTTTCTTATAAGTTCCTTAGACTTCTTAAAACACATTGTGCGATGCCGAGTGTGCTCCACATAGGTGAGTGGGCTTGACAAACCACCTGTAGGGCACACTCCTCAGGAAGTAATCTAAATAAATATGTAAGAAGTAACTTACACTCGTCATAGCATTTATATACAGCAACTCTCTTTTGAAGTGCTTATTTTGTTCTCACTTGTCTATATATGAATTGTGTATATATAAACGGGTAAATTTGTATCTCTTGACGCCTCCAGATATCGACGAGTGCACCATCATGAACGGCGGCTGCGACACACACTGCACAAACTCGGAGGGAAGCTACGAATGCAGCTGCAGCGAAGGATACGCGCTCATGCCTGACCTCAGGACCTGCGCTGGTAACACACACTGTCAAACTCGCACACATTTACATACACGCATACAAACTGACCTCTCAGAATGAGCCGTGTGTCTCTCTGCAGACATCGACGAGTGTGAAGACACACCAGATATCTGCGACGGCGGCCAGTGCACGAACATCCCCGGAGAATACCGCTGTCTGTGCTATGATGGTTTCATGGCCTCTATGGACATGAGGACATGCATCGGTGAGACACATGCATACACACACACACACACACACACACACACACACACACTAACAGAGTTTGATTTATTTACATTTTCATTTTAATATATCAGATTTGTTGGTTGAATTTACTTTAAAATAACAAGAATGTGTTATGTTTTTCTTTCTCTGATTGCACATATTAGTTTTTATAAAATTATTTACATGTTTATACATATTTAATAAATGAATTTTGTTCGTGATTTCCTGTTTATTTACATTTGCAATGTCATATTTGTGTTATATTATATTTATTATGTTAATATATTATACTTTCACTTTCACTTCACTTTATTTACATGATACTTTCTGTCATTTATTCATACAGACGTCAATGAATGTGACCTGAACCCTAATATCTGCCTGCACGGTGACTGTGAAAACACTAAAGGATCCTTCATTTGTCACTGTCAGCTCGGATATTTCGTCAAAAAGGGCTCAACTGGATGTACAGGTACGACACGTGAGCATTTAACATGACACTTTAAAAACCTTTAGATTATACAGTGTTACCAGTGATAAACCAGATGAGGCCAGCCCCAAAAAACAGATCAAATTATCAGAAAACAGATCAAAATCAGTTGAATACAGAAAAAAAGGTGAAAACACATTAAATCAATGGGAATCTAGATTAGACAGCAATAAAAACAGATGGAACAGCAGAGAAAATCTGATCAGACCCGCAGAAAACTGGATGAGACCAACAGCTAAGCCAGTGGAAACCGCTAAACCAGTGAAAAACCAAATCAATCAACAGAAAAGCAAATCAAGTTAACTAAAAACGATCAGACAGTGGGAAAACCAGAGCACACCAGTGGAAAACCAAGATCAAACACCAGTAAAAACATATCAGACCAATTAAAACCAGACCAAACAGCAAAAAGCCAAATCAAACCAACTAAAAACAGATCACACAGCAGAAAGAACAGATTGAACAAGTGGAATTGCATCTAACCAATGTAAACCAAGCACAAGAAAAGCTAGATCTGACCAACAACAAAACCCAGATCAACCTGGGAGAAATCCAGATCAGACCAATAAAAAGCCAGATCAAACTGCAGAAAAACAGATCAGACCAATGAAAAGCCAGATCAAACTGCAGAAAAACAGACCAGACCAATGAAAATCAAGATCAAACCAATAAGCCAGATCAAACCAACAAAAAAACAAGATCAGACCAACAGAAAACCAGGTCAAACAGCAAAACACCAGACCAGACCAGCAGAAACAGATCAAACAGCAAAACACCAGACCAGCAGAAACAGATCAAACAGCAAAACACCAGACCAGACCAGCAGAAACACAGATCAAACAGCAAAACACCAGACCAGCAGAAACAGATCAAACAGCAGAACACCAGATCAGACCAGCAGAAACAGATCAAACAGCAGAACACCAGATCAGACCAGCAGAAACAGATCAAACAGCAAAACACCAGACCAGACCAGCAGAAACAGATCAAACAGCAAAACACCAGACCAGACCAGCAGAAACAGATCAAACAGCAAAACACCAGACCAGCAGAAACAGATCAAACAGCAAAACACCAGATCAGACCAGCAGAAACAGATCAAACAGCAAAACACCAGACCAGACCAGCAGAAACCCAGATCAGACCAATGAAAAACCAAGATCAAACACCAGAAAAACAGATCAGTCCAATGAAAAATCAGATCCGACCAGCAGAAAACCAGATCAGACCAACAGAAAAATCAGATCAAACAGCAGAACACCATATCAGACTAATGAATAACCGGATCAGACCAGCAGAAAAACAGAGCAAACCAGTGGAAACCAAGATTAAACACTGATAAACTAGATTAGACAAAAAAAAACAGACCAAACAGCAGAAAACCAGATCAGACTAATGAAAAATCAGATCAAACTGCAGAAAAACAGATTAAACACAATGGAAAAACCAGATCAGACCAGCAGAAAAACAGATCAGACCAATGTAAAATCAGATCAGACCAGCAGAAAAAAAACATCAGATCAATAAAAACCAGATCGGACCTATGACCAACAGCAAAAAAAAAAACTGATCAGACCAATGAATAACTAGATCAAAGAGCAGAAAAACAGATCAGACCAACAGAAAATCAGATCAAATCAGTAGAAATGCAAACCATTGGAAACCAAGATCAAGCACAAGAAAACCAGATCAGACCAACAAAAATAACCAAACAGCAGAAAACCAGATCAAACAAATAGAAATGCATCCAACCATTGGAAACCAAGATCAAACACCAGAAAAACCAGATCAGATCAATGAAAAATCTGATTTAAAAATGAATAAATAAGACCAATAAAAAACCCCAGATCAGACCAGAGGATCCCCAGACGAGTTTACTTGGGTGGTTTGTGTGTATCTGAGTTGTGTCTTTCATTTTGTTGCAGATGTGGACGAGTGTGAAATCGGGGCTCATAACTGTGATCTGCATGCGGCGTGTGTGAACGCTCCCGGCAGCTTCAAGTGCCGATGCCGCGACGGCTGGGAGGGAGACGGCATCAAGTGTATCGGTGAGTGACCTGTGTGTGTGTGTGTGTGTGTTGTTTTCTTGATGTGTAAAAAAATCTTAACACAACTCTGATTCGATTCTGAGAGTCACGATTCAATTCCAAATCGATTCTCTGCCTAATTTATTTCCAGATTTCCTTCAGCCGTCCAAACACACCAGCACCATCACCACCTAATTTGAATACAGGATAGACTCTGAACTTTTAAGAATCGATTCAGAATCGCTAGTAAAAGAATCGTGATGTGTCAATGAATCACTTGTTTTCCTAGTTTGTTTGTGGTTCCCCTGATGTTCTCTGAGCTCATATGTGTGTGTGTTATTCCGCAGATGTTGACGAGTGTGTGACAGAGGAGCACAACTGTAACCCGAACGCTGAGTGTTTGAACACACCAGGCTCGTACCGCTGCTCCTGTAAAGAAGGATTCAATGGAGATGGATTCTCCTGCTCTGGTCAGACACAAACACACACACTGCACAGTTCACTCCCTCTGCTTAATGTTATCCAAAGAGAGTAACCTTTTGGGGCCCTCAGAGTTACTATTAGGGGGCCCAATCAGTGATTCTCCCTATCACATATGATGATTGTTCTTTGTGTGTGTGTAGACATGGACGAGTGTGCGGATAATGTGAATCTGTGTGAGAACGGTCAGTGTTTAAACGCTCCGGGTGGATACCGCTGCGAGTGTGAGATGGGCTTCACTCCAACAGAGGACAGCAAAGCCTGCCAGGGTACACACACACACACACACCAAACACAAACATACTACGCAAACGCACTTATACTATACACTACACACACGCACTAACTACTCACATTTCACACACAAACGCACATCTAACATGCACATATACACACACTGCAAACACGCACGTACTACACACACTGTTTACATACCCTATACACTTCCTGCACTGTAAAACACACTATACACATTCCACACACACACACCAAATATACACATACTATAGTTGCATACTATGCACACAGTGTTCACATACACCTTAAAATACGTGGACTGTGAAACACACACTATACACACACACTCTTCATACTCTCTCTCTCTCCTCCATCAGACATTGACGAGTGCAACTTCCAGAACATCTGTGTGTTTGGATCGTGTCAGAATCTGCCAGGAATGTTCCGCTGTGTGTGTGATTATGGATATGAGCTGGACCGCAGCGGAGGAAACTGCACAGGTCACACACACACACACACACACACACACACACACACACACACACATATATATATATATATATATATATATATATATATATATATACTTTTTATAAATATAAATATATATTTATAAATTTTTCATTTATTGATAATAATAAATTGATTTTACGTTTAATTGAGGTGTTTTTCACATGGGTTCAATTCAGCTGAAAGTGAACGAATGCTAATTCTATCGTCTCTTTTCCAGACATCAACGAGTGTTTCGACCCGGTGAACTGCATCAACGGTGTGTGTGTGAATCTGCCCGGCAGCTACCTGTGCAACTGTCCTCCAGATTTTGAGCTGAACCCGTCTGGTGTGGGCTGTGTGGGTACGTCAAGCTCCATTACACACATGTGTTAACTTTCAACATGACGACACAGCTGTAACCAGTGCTGGATGTAATTAGTCACAGCAATTAACTCTTTCACCGCCACTGTCATTGACAAGATATTACTACAGTCTACATTTTGCATACTGACATTTTAATATCACTTTACATAGACTTTAAGTTTTTGTTTGTTTTTTAAATAATGCTAATAAGTGGAATTTAATTAAAATTTAAATAATAAAAAGTCAAATTTATATTATCTATACATTGAAATCTAATAAATATATCAAGTGCTATTGAGTTATTAAGTATTTAAGTTACTTTTTAGACATAGTCAAAATGCCATCTACTTTAAAAACTAGCCTAAAGCACCATCTTCTTTTAAAAACTAGCCTAGATTGCTAAAAACTAGCCAAGGATGCTGTCTACTTTTAATAACTAGCCTGGAGCATTAAAAACTATAGCAATCTTTCTTTAAAAACTAGCCTAGATTCCTAAAAACTAAGCTGGCGTGCCATCTACTGCGAATAACTAGCCTAGAGCATTAAAAACTAGCCTAAAGTGCTAAAAACTAGCCCAGAGTGTTACAAACTAGTGCAGTCTAATGTTTAAAGCTAGCCTAGAGTGTCAAAAACTAGCCTAGATTGCTAAAAACTAGCCTAAGATGCCGTCTACTGTTAAAAACTAGCCTAAAGTGCTAAAAACTAGCCCAGTGTGTTACAAAATAGTGCAGTCTGATGTTAAAAGCTAGCCTACCGTGTCAAAAACTAGCCTAGATTGCTAAAAAACTAGACAAAAGCGTAGTATGCAGTTTAAAAACTAGCTTTGAGTGTTAAAACTAGCCTAGTGTGCTTAAAATTAGGTTAGAGCATGGTCTACGGTTACAAATTAGCCTAGAGAGGTTAAATTTAGCCGAGAGAGCTAAAAACTAGCCTAGAAAGTTACAAAGCAGCATAAAGTAATGTCTGCTGTAAAAAAACTGGCCTAGAGTGGTAAAAACTAGCCTGGATTATTTACAAACACATGTACGGTGATGTCTGCTGTTAAAAACTAACCTAGAATAAAAGCTAGCCTAGAGTGTTAAAACCTAGCATAGTATGCTGTCTGTTCTTAAAAACAAGCCTAGTGTAAAAAACTAGCCTATAATGCTAAAAACTAGCCTAGAGTTCCATCAGCCGTTAAAAACTTGATCATAAGTCAAGCCTAGAGTGCTAAAAACTAGCCCAAAGTTTTAAGAAAGTAGCCTAAAGTGGAGTTTGCTGTTTAAAAACTAGCCTAGAGTGTTAAAAACTAGAATAGAGTACTAGCTTACTGCACGGCCTGTATTTAAAAAATAGTCTAGAGTGTAAAAAATCTAGCCCAGAGTGCAAAAAAACTAACCTAAAATGAGGTATGCTGTTTAAAACTAGCCTAGCCTACTAAAAGCTAACCTAGAGTGTTAAAAACTAGCCTAGCCACAAAACCTAACCTAGAGTGTTAAAAACTAGCCTAGCCACTAAAACCTAACCTAAAAACTAGCCTAGCCACTTAAACCTAACCTAGAGTGTTAAAAACTAGCCTAGCCACTAAAACCTAACCTAGAGTGTTAAAAACTAGCCTAGCCACTAAAACCTAACCTAAAAACTAGCCTAGCCACTAAAACCTAACCTAGAGTGTTAAAAACTAGCCTAGAGTGCCGTCTGCTGTTAAAAACTAACCTAAAATGCTAAAAACTAACCTATAGCACTGTCTGCGGTTAAATCTAGCCTAGAGTGCAAAAACTAGCCTAGAGTGCTAAAACCAGCTTAGATCACTGTCTGTTGTTAAAAATGACCCTAGGGTGTTAAAAACAAGATGTAAATCCCCATAAGTGAGAAGTAACTAATGGAGCCCTCGTTTGTTCTATTTCCTGTGTGCAGACACGCGTGTGGGCAACTGTTTCCTGGATACGTTGGACCGTGGCGATGGCGGGATCTCCTGCAGTGCTGAGATCGGAGTGGGCGTGACCCGCGCATCCTGCTGCTGCTCGCTGGGCGGAGCCTGGGGAAACCCCTGTGAACTCTGCCCATCCGTCAACTCCAGTACGACCAATCCTGAGCAGTCGCATAATCAGCTCTCATTATTCATAATCTGATCATATGTACTATAGCCTACTAAATTATATGACAACTTTATGAATATTGTTATTGTAATAAACACATTATTAATACATTTTTACATTCATATGCAAGTAAAAAATGATAAATAATAATAATAATTTGTATTACATGAATGTATTTCCCTTAACGTATTTGTCCCCATTGTAAAGCGAGGTCAGTGATGCTGTGCTGAACTGTGTGTGTTTTTCCCCTCAGCCGAGTATAAGACTCTGTGTCCCGGTGGAGAAGGCTTCAGGCCGAACCCCATCACCGTCATCCTGGAGGGTAAGAGACTCAAACCTCTGCTTTAACCACACCAGTGCTGTTTCCATCCAAAAATGTCAATTTCATTTATGCGCAAAACTGAAATACCCCATAAAACATTAGTGAATAAAGCAGCTCACTTGACATTCTCCCATTGCATGTGCCATCAAAGGGGGAAAGCTCCGCCCATTAGTGACCATCCCTTCCTCATTAGCATAGAAAGTTAGTCCTATTTTTGAATCTGCTACTATACTGACACATAGGCATTTGTGGCTCCGCCCTCTTTTGAAAAAAGCACAATCTCATTTGCATTTAATGCGACAATCACCAAAACACTACAATTAGAATCAAAGCCAAAAAGGGTCAGTTTCAGAGTGTTATAAAACATTTAATGTGTGTTGTTTTGAGCTGAAACTTCACACACACACTACAGGGACATGGGAGACGCATTTAACATCTAAAAAGCGGCATAATAGGTGCATTTTTTAATGCAGTATTCCAAAATGTGCATAAAAATAGGTGAATGGAAACAGCTAATAAGTGTTTATTCATATTGATGCGTGCGTGTGTGTGTGTGTGTGTGTGTGTGTGTTTTTTCTCCATCAGACATTGACGAGTGTCAGGAGCTGCCGGGTCTCTGTCAGGGTGGAAACTGTGTGAACACGTTCGGCAGTTTCCAGTGTGAGTGTCCCGCCGGATACTATCTCAACGAGGAGACGCGCATCTGCGAAGGTGAACAACGTTCAGGATTTCATATTTATACATTTAAAAACAGACATATATTAACTTGAATATTTTAATGATACAATTTAAATTAATAATAATAATTATTATTTGTAAATTTATTTTGTATTCATATTTATTTTATAAAGTGTTGATTAATAATTGATGTTTTTTTATTTAAAAAAAAAATTATATATATATATATTACTGCTGGGAAAAAGGTTAATCGCAATTAATCACATCTATCTATCTATCTATCTATCTATCTATCTATCTATCTATCTATCTATCTGTCTGTCTGTCTGTCTGTCTGTCTGTCTGTCTGTCTGTCTGTCTGTCTGTCTGTCTGTCTGTCTGTCTGTCTGTCTGTCTGTCTGTCTGTCTGTCTGTCTGTCTGTCTGTCTGTCTGTCTGTCTGTCTGTCTGTCTGTCTGTCTATCTATCTATCTATCTATCTATCGTGGGTATAGAAAAGAATCACCCCCCCTAAAAATTGTTGCATTGTAGCCTGAATTGAAGACAGACACAGTTTTTGTTTAATCTAACTGCATTTACTTAGTGCAACTTATAACACCAAACCAGAAGATATAACACCAAAATGTCAGAAAAAAACTTACATATAAAAAACAAAATTAATTGGTTGGTAAAATCACCCCCTTGTTTTAGCGTTTGGTTAAATAACCTTTTGCTTTTAATACAGCCTTTAATCTGTTGGGATACGTTTCTACTAACTTTGCACATTTAGACTTTGCAATATTAGCCCACCTCTCTTTGCAGAACTGTTCAAGTTCAGTTAAATTTGATGGTGTCCATTTGTGGACAGCAGTATTCAAGTCATTCCACAGATTTTTAATGGGGTTTAAGTCTGGACTCTGACTTGGCCATGCCAGGACATTCACCTTTTTGTATCCATCTCCTAACTTGAGCTTTATCCCAGAGATCTTTTGACAATGCCCTGCCACCCATAGTTGATGGTTTGCTTTAGTTGCACTACCTGGGGTTGAAATGTTACACTAAAGCTATTTTCATGCTGAGCTGATCAAATTGACCACCAATGAAAATGAAATTGTGTTGTTTGTCGTTAAGAATATGATTAGCTACACCTGATTGAGTTTACAAGTAAATTTTAGGAGGGGGGTGATCCTTTTCACAACTGAGTGATTATGTTTCTATGCTTGTTAATTGTTTTCTGACATGTTGGTGTTATATCTTTTACATGGATGTTATACATTGTACTGAATAATTACACCTAGATAAAACAAAACTGTATCTGTCTTCATTTCAGGCTACAATGCAACAAAATGTAAATATTTTGTAGGGGGGTGATTCTTTTCTATACCCACTGTATGTATGTATGTATGTATGTATCTATCTATCTATCTATCTATCCATCTATCCATCCATCCATCCATCTATATATATATATATATTAGGGCTGTCAAATAATTAAAAAATGTACGCAATTAATCACATTTTCTTTGTAATTAATCATGATTAATCACGAAACACTGTATTTATTACAGAAATAAAAGCACATGCCATTTGAATTTAGCCGCGCAGTACAGCGAACCTGGTGAGCGAGGGATCCGTTCAGATTCATCAACTTGCACGGTCACGTTCATCAAATTTGCTTCAATAAGCTTTCTAAAGTGGCTGTATTTTACAAGGATTCTGACACAGCAGCGTGAAGCAGACACTTTACAAAAGTTGCGTGTAGGGGGAAACACGTCAAACTTATGAAATGTGAGGGCTCATGGAAGCAGCTTAAAGGCAGAGAATATGGCTGTCTCTGACAGCTTGCGACTTCATCTGCCATTTTCACAGAGTACATTTACATGGACAACAATCCTCCGCTTTTATGATTAAGATAATATTGATTAAGAGTTGACCATGTAAGCAGCGATTTTTGATTACCTTGAAGGATCACGCAAGTCCCGAAATGAAGAGGTTTTCCTTTCCGTTCGCCATGCGGTAAAAAATTCCATTAAAACATCCTGAATGAAAATCTGCTGAATGAAAGGGAACTGCTGAACATCAGTTAAAGTCTAAATATTAAAAATGAAACACCCGAAATTGTATGAAACTCCGGCGGAAATACAGGCACATTAATTGTTTCGTACTGAAACTTTCCTTCTAAAAGCACGTCCTTGGTTTTATCAAAATTTCTTGCACGTTAAACACACGCAGGGCCAGAGCAAGCTGAACTGGTGCTCTAGGCAAACGATAATCACGCGCCCTCAACCCGAAAGTGACCAGTTCGCGGATAAAAGTTAGGACCGTGAGGGAGGGGGTGGATGTAGCGGATAATGGTGAAGACCGGGGCGTTCGCTCACTATTCTGCTGCCCAGGTCGTCTCTATGTATCTTTGCATTATTTTCTTTTAACACGTTAAATATTTCAAATTAATCCCGTATGTTAACGTGCTAATTTTGACAGCTCTAATATATATATATATATATATATATATATATATATATATATATATATATATATATATATATATATATATATATATATATGTATATGTATATATATATATATACCTCAACACGGTGGCACAGTGGGTAGCGCTGTCGCCTTACAGCAAGAAGGTCGCTGGTTTAAGCCCCAGTTGGGTCAGTTGGCATTTCTGTGTGGAGTTTATAATTTTTTTTTTATTTGTTAGTTTTAGTGTTTAATATTTCTACAACTTATATTGTTCTATATATAAATCTATATTAACTCTATAATCTATTTCTATCATTTAAATGGTTAGTCTATTTAGTGTTTGTTTAACAATTTGTGTGATGTACTTTTATTGTATAACACAAAATAATAATAAAAAAAGTATTTTATGACCCTGATTTATTCTTATCTTTATGTATAATTATTACTTTCTATGAATAACAACTTTTTAAATCAATTAATTATTATTTTTCATACATTTAAATGACTATTTACATATTAATAATGAGCATTTTTATTCCATAGAAACCTTGTAACTTAAATTCCCTCCTGATTTGCGTAAAACGAATCAAATTTAAGTAAAATAAATATTTGCTCTTCATTTCCCCCTCATTTAAAATGCAGCGCGTTCTAATTCAGATAACATTTTGTATCTGCGTAAAATAAACATTACTTTTGTTCATTTTGAATGTTTAGCACTTCAGTATTTAAGGAAATGTTGTATTTGATGAACACCAATAATGAACAGATATATACCATTATTTAATAACGATGCTGAACGCATCTGTATATGAATAATAATATTTGTGTGTCATTTTTGTCAGATATTGATGAATGTACTGCTCACATTGGCATCTGTGGTCCGGGCACCTGCTACAACACACTGGGCAACTACACCTGCGTCTGTCCTCCAGAATACATGCAGGTCAATGGAGGAAACAACTGCATGGGTACCACATCCTTCACTGCACCTTTACTCAATCCTAATGTTTAGCAAGCTCAAACAGATGGTTAAAGTTTCATGGATTTCTGACTAGGTTTTGTGCAAAGCAGTAAAATATGACATATTCAAATATTTGTTTACAATATAATAAAATAAGTTACTGAACTGTTTTACACTTCTTGCAAAACTGCACTAAATATGTTCTGAAAAAAATCTCGTGCGTGTTTGTCTTCAGACATGAGGAAGAGTGTGTGTTACCGTAACTTCAACGACACCTGTGAAAACGAGCTCTCCTTCAACATGACCAAAAAGATGTGCTGCTGCGCCTACAACGTGGGTAAAGCCTGGAACCGGCCCTGCGAGGCCTGTCCTACCCCCGCCACCTGTGAGTGAACCAGTGCATCTCTATAATAATCACATATTCACACATAATAAAACATATATACACTGCTTTATCTAGAAAGAGGAGAAAAACATCTAAATAAGAAATCACTGGGAAAATACCGTTGCTATGGATTGAACAAAATAAGATGCATTAAAGTATTTAGACATAAATATGCAAAATGTATATGTTAAATACCGAAAGAGGGTGTTGCATTTAAATTATGCTTGATTAATATCACATTGCATAAAGTATTTTAAAAAATAATAATAATTATGATATATATATATATATATATATATATATATATATATATATATATATATATATATATATATATATATATATACATACACACATACACACACACACATATATATATTTTTATATTTTATACATACATCCATATATATATATATATATATATATATATATATATATATGTATATATATATATATATATATATATATATATATATATATTACATTTTTTAAATTAATTAAGCATTTAGTGTTTATACATGCATTTTATTTCAAATTAAAATAATAAAATGTAAACAATTTAAGTCATAATTTGGATAAAATTTTATTAAAATTTTTCCTTTTTTTATTATTATTTTAAAATATTTTTTTTTCCCCATTCAAGGTGTGGTGGATTCAGATTCAAGCTACTTATGTTCTACTTATGTATTTCATCAAATAAATTGTTTTTAAATGTGCGTTTATTTCCGTCTTTTACAGCCGAATACCAGCTTTTGTGTGGTAATCAGGCTCCTGGTTTCATCATCGACATCCACACTGGAAAACCCATCGGTGAGTCCACTTAATAATGATGATAATAATAATACTTCAAAACACACTCTTTCATCTCTCTGATGGCACGTTCACACCAGACGCGGATGAAGCATCAGGCGCTAATGATTTACATGCTAAATCAATGCAAAAACGCAAATAGACATCCTGCAGGCGATTCGCGTGAATGAGGCAGCGCGAGTTGAGTGTTTTGCACGCTTGATGCTCTTAACGTGCGAATCGCTCAAGTTGGAAAATATGAACTTCAGCGGACATTCACGCTACGTTACCCAATAAGGAGCTTGCTCTTTTAGGGGCGTGATTATGACATAGTGCCTGTTGTTGCTATCCCGAGGGGAAATCCTGCTGCCGACACCGGACAACAACTCATCAAACTGAGCTCGGCTCAGTCTGAAAGCTTCCATCATCCACATACATTTTCTGGAAGAGTTGATGAACTCTGACCTCTGAAAGGATCTAGTGCACTCAGATACTGCACCGAACAAATCAACACTGTTTTTCAGCCTTCCTAAAGCACGTAAGCACAGCTATTATCTCAATAAAATCCATGTTAGCCATTTAGCAATGAAGCTAGAGTCACCGGGCAGACAGAAACCCTGCCCATGACGCGAATCCGCATTTATTGTGAAGTAAATTCCATGCGCGAATGAAGCGAATTTGGCGCTTGACTTGGCGAGTAAATTTAGCATTTATTTACGTGCGAATAGCACTGTTTATTTGCGTATACCGCGCTTGGTGTGAACACAGCTTGATACTCGCACCAGACACTTACTTACAATCACTCCATATCAATTGAAAGAAACTGTGCATTTATGAAGTGTGCCTCACACAAGTGAGTGGGCTTGACAAACCACCTGTACAAACACTATTCTCTCTATAAAAAATTTAATAAAAATACTCCCCCTCCTAACTCTAGCATTTAATTCTCTGAGCACAAACAGTTCATTTGTATAATCAGCACTTCCTGTGTGTATTGCCTCTTCTTGTTGAATTGCTGAATGCCTCCTCAATTGAAAGTCACTTTGGACAAAAGCATCTGCTAAATATATATGTATTTCACATAATAATGCGGTAATTACACTCTCCGTCGAACAGAGCATTTATTTCCGCCTCTCCTCAGACATCGACGAGTGTCGCGAGATCCCAGGCATCTGCGCTAACGGCGTCTGCATCAACCAGATCGGCAGTTTCCGCTGCGAGTGTCCCATGGGCTTCAGCTACAACAACATCCTGCTCATCTGCGAAGGTAATGCCGCTAACATCTGCTATTAGCATACTGCTAACGGTGTTGATCTTCGCTAACACCTTTCATTACGCTCCAGATATTGACGAGTGTAATAGCGGAGACAACCTGTGCCAGCGCAACGCTAACTGCATCAACATCCCCGGAAGCTACCGATGCGAGTGTTCAGCCGGGTTCAAGCTATCGCCAAGCGGAGCCTGCATAGGTGAGTCCGATTATAGACTATAGAATACACAAGACACGACAACACAACACAAGAAGTTTCGCTCCTAAAGTTTTGCATGGGGAAAAGTGTAAAGGTCAATATGACAAAACAAAGCCCCTCCTACTAGTACAAGAGCCAATCAGTGATCAATATAGACTGATATTCTCTGTGGGAGGGGTTTGGTTCAGATGTGTGTTTTTACGACAGTTTCTGCAGCTTCGTTATGAACTAGGGCTGAACTATTTCATATTTAAGCATTAATATCGCAATGCGTGCATCCGCTATAGTCATATCACAAAATTAGATTGTTTATTAAAGATTAAAGGTATTAATGCTAATATTTTTTTATTATTTATACAACAATGACCATGTTATTTGGTGCTTCATTGTTCATATTCTGTATTTGAATACTGTTAGAAAACCATGAAGCACTGTTTATTTGGCTTATGCCGTATTTATATATGCTTGTCATATATATCTTCTCAAATGGAGCTATTCAAATCATCTGGTGAATATTTAATCGCAGCAAACCAAAATATTGCAATGTCAGAATTTTCTAATATCGTGCAGCCCTATTACGAGCCCTCCGTGGTCAGCAATTGCATTTGTTATTCGAAAACCTATATAAATTGCTGTTTAAATGTCTTGTCAGATCGTAACGAGTGTCAGGAGATCCCGAACGTCTGCAGTCACGGCGAGTGCATCGACACACAGGGCAGTTTCCGATGTCTGTGCCACAACGGCTTCAAAACTACGCCGGACCAGACCATGTGTATGGGTGAGTGTCCAACGCTACTGGAAGTGCATCTGCTTTTGTGGCTGTTTGAATGTGTAACAAGCTGTGGTAACTAACTAAATGTCTGTGTTTCTGGCAGATATCGATGAATGTGACAGACAGCCGTGTGGAAACGGGACGTGTAAGAACACAGTGGGCTCCTACAACTGTCTGTGCTTCCCCGGGTTCGAGCTCACACATAATAATGACTGCATGGGTAAGACTATATGCTTTCAGGCCTATTTTAAATAATGCATTTACAGAGAAGTTTCGCAAGTCTGCTAACATCACACTAAAGTTTTCACAAAGAACTTTTCCATTAAAAATAAAAAACAAAATTAACATTAAACAAATTTAACATACGTTTTAAACGTTTTTCATGCGTTTTAATTAGGTTTTAAACCAAAATGTACACACTGCAAATATAGGACTATAAATATTTACCAAAATAAGAAATATTAGTTACATTTATTGTAAATTTAGTAAAGTCTGAATTTATTTTACATTAAAATAATTTAAAAAATACTCAGAGTATATATAGGATTGTAAATATTGAGCAAAATAAGACATTTTACTGTTTGTTTGGTAAAGTCAGAATTTAATTTATATAAAATAATAATAATAAATGTGTAAAATTGGCATGTTATATTTAGTTTTAAATATTTCATAAAATTTATCATATTTTTTATTATTAGAAATGAAATATTTTATAGACTTTTTGCTTTATTTTAATAAGTGTGTCAGTAGTTTGACCTAACATCAATTTATTAATTTTCTTTTAGCATTTAAAAAATTAAATGTAATACAGTAATACTGTCAGCTAGTATTGTTTTTTTATTAATATTTTGCAGTTAAAGTAAAAAAAAAATAATAAGTTGTAATTACTGGTCGTGGTTGTTTGATTCTAATCTAGTCAAAATTAAACATCAACATTTAACATCGAAAAATATAACGTCAATTGTCCTTCAAAAAATTTGTCAACATTTTGCATCAAACTATAAAGTCAAAATGTAAGAAAAATTTTATGCCAAAATTTAACGTCAAATTTTTGAGTCAACTAGAAAAAATCTAAATATTTAGTAAAAATTTAACATAAAATATAAGATCAATTTTGCATACTATAACGTCAAAATGTAACATGACTTTTACACCAAAATTTAAAGTAAAATTTTTCAACTTTTAACATCAAAATAGTAAATTTTTCATCAAAATTGTCAATTTTATGTCAACATTTAACAACAACATATAACGTCAAAATTAAAAGTAAAAATGTAAAATAAATTGTCCAATTTTTACATCAACATTTAACATCAAAATATAGTCAATATTTACGTCAAAATGTAGTCAATTTTATGTCAAAATTGTACGTCAACATATAATGTTAAATTAAGTCAAAATGTAATGTCACTTTATATGTTATTAACATATAACGTCAAAATTAAGTCAAAACGTGATGTCAATTTTACGTCATAATTGTATGTCAACATTTAAAATCAAAATATATCAATAAACATCAAGTTTTTACATCAACATTTGCATCAAAATATATAAAAATTTAACGTCAACATTTATATTGAAAACTAAAATGTAATATAAACTTTACGTCAAATTTTTGCATCAGCGTTTAACATTAAATATATAGTCTAAATTTAACAAACTTTTTACGTCAACATTTTTCCAAAAAACATATTGTCAAAATGTAACATAAATTTTACATCAATTTAACATCATAATTGAATTTTAAACAGTCAAACCACATGGGCTGCGAAATGTTTGTGTGTAATATTATTGTTTTTGCTTCCTGCAGATATTGACGAGTGCAGCGTTCATGCTAGTCAGGTGTGCAGGAACGGTCAGTGCATCAACAACATGGGCTCCTTCAAGTGTTTGTGTCTGGACGGGTATAACCTGACGCCGGACGGCAAAAACTGCGTCGGTGAGACTCAACCACCATTAACAAACATCGATACACTCCAATTTACAGGCTGCACGCTTTACAGTCCTCAAACACACTGCTGTAAAAGCTTTCCATTGATCAACAAGCCCCTCCAATTCATCCAGTTAATTAAACACCTGAACATCTAGAAACTGCCTGGAGGAAACCACCTCAATGTTTGCTTTCTGCTGGAAATATAACACTTATATTTATATTTAATATATTTTAAATAATTTACATAATGTTGCTGATTTATATTCTAACTATTAATCAGATTTTAAAACTATTAATACATGTATAATGTTAGGTTTTATATAATATATTGTAAATATATTCCATAAAACATTTATATAATTTTAAAAGAATCATTTTTTTAGCTATACCTCCTGTAAATTTTAAATAAAATATAAATGTTAATCTTTTAGTAACTATTAATAAATATATTACACATTTATATAATAAATTGCAATTTAAAAGCATGCTTCTGACTTCAACTGTACATGAACGTGTTTCTGCTGTCCTGTCAGATATCAATGAGTGTGTAACGCTGCCGGGCGCCTGTCAGCCGGGAACCTGTCAGAATCTGGACGGCTCATTTCGCTGCATCTGTCCGCCTGGGTACGAAGTGCAGAACGACAAGTGTGTCGGTAAGAAACAAACCGCAGTCAATAATAAACTAAGTTCCCAGCACTCCTCATTTATGAATCACTCCTTATTTACCCATAGCTACACGTGTGTGACCCGCGCTGACCGTCCCATCTGTTGCCAAACCTAACAGGTCACACTTTGCCCACATGTAAGACTATTTATCCCTTTTTTCCTCCACAGATATCAATGAATGCAACGTGGAGCCAAATATCTGTCAGTTCGGCACGTGCAAAAATACACCGGGAAGCTTCCAATGCATCTGTCAACCTGGATTCGTCCTATCAGACAATGGCCGACGCTGTTTTGGTAAGATACGCTCTTTAAAGAGTTTCATCATAGATCATTTACAGCAACTTTTTACAATGAAAGTGGAAGGTTGTGGGTTCAAAACCCACTAGATTACTACAAAAATTGTCCTTGTAATAGTGCTGCTTTAAATAAATGTACGTCTAAAGCAAGCAACACATTTCCAGAAGTGGAAGGTTGCATATTCATATCGCTTAATAAATTTGCCTTTCTTTAATGTTAGTTTTAAAATGGTTCATGAATATGTCCTAATAAAAATGTTGTAGGTTCAAATCCCTTTGGTTAGTACAACAGGATAGTTATATTAGGTAATAAAAGCACTTTGAATAAAACGGTCCAAAGCGTGTCACATGTTTAGCAGGTATTATCCTTATCAATAAAATTAGTATGTTGTAGGTTCAAATCCCTTAATAATGTCCCTCTCTCTAATAAGTGCTATTAGTAAAAAATATATGTATTATAAGTGAAACGTTGTAAGTTCAAATCACTTAATAATGTCCCTCTTTTTTAATAGTGTTGCTTTTAATATGAAAATGTTGTTATGACATAATGAATATGAATGGTTGTAGGTTTAAATCCCTTTAGTTAGTACAACAGGATAATAATAGCACTTTGAATAAAACTGTGTCCAAAGCATGCGTCACATTTTTAGCAAGTATTATCTTCCTCAATAAAAGCAGAAGGTTGTAGGTTCAAATCCCTTATTAACGTTCCTCTAATAATGTTCCTCTCTGTAATAATGGTACTTTTAATAAGAATAGGTCCTAAGTGAATAGTTGTTGGTTCAAATCCCTTTGGTTACTAAAACAAGATTGTCCTTTAATAATGCAGCTTTAAATAAAAGTATGCCCAAAGCAGGCAACACATTTAGAGAGAGCGTACAGAAGGCATAAGTGTAGAAGGTTGTAGGTTCAAATCCCTTTAATAATGTCTCTCAGTGCTTTTGAACAACAATATCTTAAGTGGAAAGTTGTAGGTTCAGATCCCTTAATAAATGTCCCTCTCTTTATTGTTACTTTTAATATGATTCATAAATATGTCCTAATAAAAAAGGTTGCATGTTCAAATCCCTTTGGTAATTTCAACAGGATAATCCATATAATAATAGCACTTTGAATAAAACCAGAACATGTGTCACATTTTTAGCAAGTATTATTTTTCTCAATAGAAGTAGAAGGTTGGAGGTTCAAATCCCTAAATAATGTGCTTTTAATAATGTCCCTCTTTTTAATAATGGTACTTTTATTAAGAATAGGTCCTAAGTGAATAGTTGTTGGTTCAAACCCCTTTGGTTATTACAAGATTGTCCTTGTAATAATAGCACCAACAGGATAGTCCTTGTAATAATAGCACTTTGAATAAAACTGTCTCCAAAGCGTGCATTACATTTCTAGCAAGTATTGTCTTTCTCGAAAAGCAGAAGGTTGTAGGTTCAAATCCTTTATAATGTCCCTTTCTGTTATAATGGTGCTTTTGATAAAATGACATCCTAAGTGGAAGGGTATAGGTTCAGATCCCCTAATGATGTCCCTCTTTTTAATAGTGTTGTTTTTAATATGAATATGTCCTAATAAAAAGGTTATAGGTTCAAACCCCCTTTGGTTATTAAAACAGGATAATAATAACACTTTTAAATAAAACTGCATGAAATTTCAGCAAGTATTATCTTTCTCAATAAAAGTTGTGGGTTCAAATCCCTAAATAGATGTCCCTCTCAGTAATGATGATTTTGATAAAAATATAAATCTTAAGATAAAAGTTGTAGGTTCAGACCTTTAATAAATAACTCTTTTTTAATTTTGTTGCTTTTAATATGAATATGTCCTTATTAAAAATGTTGTAGGTTCAAATCCCTTTGGTTAGTTCAACAGGATAGTCCTTGTAATGAAACTACTTTGATTAAAACTGTCTCTAAAGCATGCATCACATTTCCAGGAGGCATTTTCTTTTTTAATAAAAGCAGAATGTTGTAGGTTCAAATCCCTAAATAAATGTCTCTTTCTGTAATTGTGCTTGTAATTGTACAATAATGGTGCTTTAGTTAAATACGTGGAAGGTTGTAGGTTCAGATCCCTTAATAATGTCTCTCGTTTTACTAGTGTTGCTTTTAAAAAGAATATGTCCAAATAAAAATAGAAGGTTGTAGATTCAAATCTCTAAATAAATGCCCCTCTCTGTAATAATTACACTTTTAATAAAAAAAATATCCTAACTGAAAGGGTGTAAGTTCAAATTGCTTAAGACTGCTTCTCTAAAATGTTAGTTTTAAGTAAAAAGATTGAGGGTTTTAGGTTTATATGCCTTTGTTTTGTTTTTTTACTGGCACTAATAATAATGGCATTTTTAGTAAAGTGTGTCCAAAGCATGAAACACAAGTAAGTAGTGCGAAGTAAGTAGTTTTTCTCTCTGAAAGTGGAAGGTTGTATGTTCGCATCCCTTTATGACTGGGCCTATAATAATATTTTGAATTACTGTTATTATTAATGTTGAATTAATGAATTTGCGTTGAACTAAATGCCTGTACTAAACACTAAAAACTTTTCAGTGTAGCTATTTCTCTTTCTACAATGCAAGTGAAAGCTTGTAGGTTCAAATCCCTTCTGTTGATACAACAGGATTATACTTGTAAAAATAAAAGAACTTCGAATGAAAGTACATCCAAAGCACACAACACATTTCCAGCAATAAATATCTTTCTCATCAAAAGTGGAAGGTTGCAAGTTCAAATCCCTTTGGTTTCTACAACAGGATTTTCCTTATAATAATGGCACTTTTAAAAGAAATCCATTTCAATTAAAGTGGAAGGTTGCAAGTTCAAGTCCTTAAGGATTGTCCCTGTAAAAATGTTGTTTTGAATTTTTTTGTGTCCTCAGACACACGTGAGAGCTTCTGTTTCACACGCTTTGAAGCGGGTAAATGTTCAGTGCCCAAACCACGCAACACAACTAAAGCAAAGTGCTGCTGCAGTCTGCTGCCAGGTGAGGGATGGGGCGACCCCTGCGAACTCTGCCCACGAGATACAGAAGGTCAGTCACAACAAAGAACCATTCATAATTAATAATAAATTATTTGTTTAAAGGACACAATTAAATGAACAATCAAATTTTTACATGTCTGAGTATTTACCATGTTTTTGTCCTATTCACTCAACATAGAAGCTGCGTTTCACACGTTGTGTCCCTACGGTCATGAGGCCGTCCCTAAACCCGAAGGACGTGAGGGTGAGAAAGCCAGCTCTTTTTTCTCAAAATAAAGCACTCATCCTTCACAGAAAGCCTAGTATTAATGTTATCTCTTGTATCCACAGACATGAACGAGTGTGTAGAAAACCCAGAAATCTGCGGGAACGGTCTGTGCATTAACACTGATGGTTCGTTCCGCTGCGAGTGTCCATTCGGATATAACCTCGACTACACAGGCGTCAACTGTGTGGGTGAGTTCACAATAAAACTACACCTCCCAAAATATCCAAACGTTTCTAGCATCAAGTGTTTTCGCTCTCTTAATTGAAGGTGAAAGGCTGTAGGTTTAAATCCCATTTCCAGTAGTTATTTTTCCCTCCATAACCCAAACCCTCTTAAAGTGGTTGGTTGTTAGATCAAACCCCTTTATTTATGGTATGGATGTCCCAGTAAATATGTTAAATATATGTCCTAAGCACATAAGCAGCTATTTCAAGGTCATGGTTCAGGGTCATTATCAGGTTGTAGGTTCAAATCTCTTAAAATGTCCTTTCAATAATGTTACTTTGAATAGATGTCAGAAGGATGCAACATGTTTCTTTCTTCTCAATTTTGTTCTTCTTAGTGAAAGTGGAAGGTTGTAAGTTCGAATCCCGTTAGCGTTATCTTTGCAGTAATGTTGCTTTGAATTGAAGTATGTCCTAAGAACCTAAGAATACATTTCAAGCATAGTATTTTCTCTTTTCTCAAATACAATGGATGGTTTTAGGTTTAAATCCCATGGGTTATTACACACAACACATTTCCAGCAGATTTTTTTCCCCTCCAAAACCCACAACCTCTAAAAGTTAAAGGTCGTAAGATCAAATAAATTTAGTAAAAGTAAGGATGTCCCAGTAAATATGTTGTTAAGGTTAAAAGTACATCCTGAGCACACAAGTTGCCAGTGCAGTACCTTCCTCAATTAACATGGAAGGTTGTAGGTTCAGATCCCTTTATGATTATCTCTGTAATAATGTTGCTTTGAACTAAAGTATGATTTAAGTACCTAATACATTTCCAGCATAGTAGTTTCACTTTTCTTAAATAATGTGGAAGGTTTTAGGTTCAAGTCCCATAGGTTATTATACACAACAAATTTCCAGCAGCTTTGTTTCCCTCCAAAACCCACAACCTCTAAAAGTTGAAGGTTGTAAGATCAAATACATTTAGTAATGGTGAAGATGTCCCAGTAAATATGTTGCTGTGGTTAAACATACTTCCTAAGCACATAAGTTGCCAGTGCAATACTATCCTCAATTAACGTGAAAGGTTGTAGGTTCAGATCCCTTTAGGATTATAGCTGTAACAATGTTGCTATAAATAGAAGTATGTCCTAAGAACACGTTTTACAGCATAGTATTTTCTCTTTTCTCAAGTACAGTGGAAGGTTTTAGGTGCAAATCCCATTGGTACAAAACATTACAAACAAAACATTCCCAGCAGCTTATTCCCCTCCATACCATAACCCTAAACCTCTTAAAGTTGAAGGTTGTTAGATCAAATCCCTTTAGTTATGGTAAAGATGACCCAGTAAATATGCTATTATAGTTAGAACTACATCCTAAGCACATAAGGTGCAAGGTTGTAGGTTCAGATGCCTTCAGGATTATCTCTTTAGTAATGTTGCTTTGAATAGGAGTATGTCCTATACATTTTCCAGCTTAATATTTTCTCTTTTCTCAAATAACGTGGAAGGTTGTAGGTTCATATCCCACTGGTTATTACAAAATATGTTCATCCCCTATAATAGTTTTGCTTTTAAATCAAAGTATCAGCCAAATGATGAGGTACTGCACCTGTAATCACAGCTCCTGATCCTGATTTTTCTCATCTTCACAGACACTGACGAATGCTCCATTGGAAACCCTTGCGGAAATGGCACATGCTCAAACGTTCCTGGAGGTTTCGAGTGCTCCTGTCAGGAGGGATTTGAACCCGGACCCATGATGACCTGTGAAGGTATGGCCAAGATATGAGCAGAAAAAAGTCACACATTTTTACAAATATGTAAAAGTTTTATTTCTTTTCCGTATAAATCCAAATATTCTTACAAAAAAATGTACTGAAAACTTTAAAAAGAGTAAAAGTTTATCTTGAGATCCAAAATTTTCTAAAAGGTTTGTGTATTTTCACACCAAATTGTAAGAATTTAAGCAAATAATGCCATACATTTTGACAAAAGGAGTCACAAAAACAGGCAATTTTGGCCTCAGATATTAAAAATGTCCCTGCAAATTTCTGAGGAGACTAAAAAATGTATTTATTAAAGCACATTTTAAAATATTTTACGACATAACCATACTTTGTTAATGTTTTTTTGTTGCAATCTGCTGTATTTTGTGTGCAGACATCAACGAGTGTGCGGTGAATCCTCTTCTCTGCGCTTTCCGCTGCGTCAACACCTTCGGCTCATACGAGTGCATGTGTCCAACAGGATATGTGCTGCGTGACGACAACCGCATGTGCAGAGGTGAAAACAAACCACCACCCAAAAAAATTGTCAACCCCAAAAAATAAAGAATATGTCATTATTTACATTTTTCTTCTTTGTACTGTACTCTGATTGTATATTCTCACATTATTCATAAACATATAAAAATACAGGGCATGTTCGGCTTTAAATAAACACTCAGTCTGTGTTTTCAGACCAGGACGAGTGCGCTGAAGGTCTGGATGATTGCGCGTCCAGAGGAATGGCCTGCAAAAACCAGATTGGCACCTTTATGTGCATCTGTCCACCCGGCATGACACGACGCCCTGATGGAGAGGGATGCATGGGTGAGAAACCAGCGTGTGTGTGTGTGAGGTGTGAAAGTGTCAAATATGTCTAAAGGAACGCTCTAAAGATAGAACAGGTCTTCTTTTTCTGCTTAATGTCATGCTCAGAGGAATTGTTCACCACAAAACTAGCAATGTGTGCTAACAAAACCAATACGGCTAGTTTTGATTTCAAATGTACTTTAAAGGCTCTGGAGTAATTTTGTAATGTTTAATAGCTAGTCGTGTATTTGCATTAGCGTGCATCAGCTCTGTGGTTCACCTGTGTGTGTGTTGTTGTTGTCAGATCTGAACGAGTGCCGCAGTAAACCAGGAATCTGCAAGAATGGGCGCTGTGTGAATACGGTGGGCAGTTACCGCTGCGAGTGCAACGAGGGCTTCGAAGCCAGCGCAACAGGCACAGAGTGCATCGGTAAGAGAAAGCGGACAATTCGACTCACATTTGAAGACTCGAGTGTAAAACCAAAATAAAATATAGAGGCACAATACTGACCCGGCAGAAACCGGAAATACATTTAGTATTTTTAGTTTAACTCTGCTTTTACTGACGCACATTAGTCAGAAAGTTACAGTATCAAATCAGTAAAGACTCAGTAAAGACATCAATTGTTCCAATCTTTCAGCAGAAAGCAATATTAGTCCACATTTTCTTCCTCTAAATTTAAAGGTGACCTATTATGTCCCTTTTTACAAGATGAATAATAAGTCTCTGATGTCCCTAATGTGTCTATGTGAAGTTTCAGCTTAAATAACTACACAACTAACTCTCTGAAACCGACCCTTTTAGGCCCCTTTGATTCTAATTGCGGTGTTTTGGTGACTGTCGCTTTAAATGCAAAATAAGCTCTTTTCAAAAGAGGGCGGAGCTACAAATGCCTGTGTGTCAGCATAGTGGCAGATTCAAAAACAAGACTAATGTCCTATGCTAATGTGGGAGAGATGGTCACTAGTGGGTGGGGCTTTTCCCTTCAGATGACAAATGGGAAAATGCCAATTAGAGCGTTTCTGCAGACTGTTTTCATTAAGAGTGAACATAAAAAATACAATTATTACATTTTTACCATTAGTAGTGGATTATGTTCACACTGCAGCCACACAACTGTGTTTAAACGCCTTATAAAAGTGATTTTTGCATAAGTTCCCTTTAATCTCTTTTGCAGAGAAATCACTATATATTGAAGATCTAGGTTTAAAGCTAGTGTAATTATGTAAGGAATAGTTGAATACGGGCTGTCGAGATACTGGATGCATTATTTCCTGATAATTCAATAGCTGGGAGTGCATTATTCCGCTTATACTCCAGTTCCCACAGCTAAAGTCACTGTTCAGATGTTGTATTTGAGATATTTGTAAGGTTTTTGTTCTCAAAATGCTCCTGTGTGTAGCACTAGTTTTTTACACATCTCATCCAAAGCTATCAGTTGTGTTTTGATGGGATTTATGAGTGTAAAATAACTGGAAGCTGTCATGTGCACAAAACCTGCCGGAACTACTTTAGTCATGCAATTATCTGAAAATAACCACACACCTTAGAATAGAGGTCTGCACGGGACTGTTTTTTTTTTTGTCCCGCTCCCGCAAGGTTTTTTTCCGCACCTGATCGCTCCTGCTGTATGTTCAGACTTTGTTTACCCGCTGCCCGCTTAGAATAATTTTCTACCTGACCCGACCATTCCTGCTAAATTTAGATCTAGTTTCTAAAATCTCACGTTCATACTGGGTACTACCAAAAAGGGAGCGCTAACAGATAAAACTGTAGGTTGTGCAACGGTTGTAGGCTAAATAGCAGTTTTGTTTGCCCCTTTGTAATAAGACATGAGTGCCGCCTTAAACTTGAGGTTCCAGTCTTGTGACAGCACTGTAAAACCAAACAGTCAACTTTATCAAATGAGTGCTGTTAACTCAAAATTGACTGAAAGTTTATTCTACTCATTTGAAAAGAGTTTTAAACTCAGAGTTGAAGGTAATGAGTTCTTAAATACCTCATTACTTCAACCTAAATGGAGTAAGTTCAGAGTACTCATATAGATTAGTTTAACTCAAATGGTTTGTAGCAATCGGTTTGAGTTGCCTTAACGCATTGGGTTTTATAGTAGTTTTATAGTTTTTGAACTTAAATGGTTTGTTGCAATCGTTTTTTTCAAATGGTTTGAGTTTCTTTAACTTACAGTGTGCTAAAGGGTAAAACTTTGAGGTATCATCACATTGTGCTTAGGGGATTTTTTTTCTAGCATCGGTAACAGACGTGAGCACTGGCTGTTGCGGTTAGGGTTGTAACAATATACCGGTATGACGGTTTACCACGATTTGAACGTGCACGATTATCATACCATGAACAATTGCATATCAACGGTTTTAACCCTTAAAGACCGAGACAGCCGCCCGCGGCTAAAAATAAGTATTGCTCTTAAATGTTTAATAACTTTTGATCCGCTGATCCTATTCATACAATTCAAAGATTGGCATAAAGAAGAGAATCTCAGCTTTCCAGTGCTGTATCACATACCATAACGCGGACTTTCAGAGGCTCCGGAATCAGTGCGGTTACGTCATCAAAATTTGACAACGCTGATTTGACAAAGAAACGCTCGTCACTGTGTCTCCGGACAAACCAGACATGATACATTGATGCATCGTCCCTCCTCCATGCCCAGATTGGTTCAAACTCGCTATATCACAACCAATAAGCATAGGTTTCACTTTTGTTTGTGGACCAACACTGAGCTTTTTGAACAACACGGAATGAGAAATAGGCATACATTTCTGCGCGGCTAAATAAAACGCAAAAAAAAAAAAGTTTTGCATGAAATAATTCTCATACTAAGTACTTTTGCATGCACAGCAGCACAGAAACATGACAAAACAGTGACACAGCAAAGACGAACTGCTGCTCTTGCTGTTTTCAAAAGACACAAATGAAGGTGCAGCTGTTTGTCTGCATTGCAGACAACCATATCCAAATCCATATCCACAGACAACCATATCCATGCTGGCACATAAAACCTAAGGATGTTCCATATTGAATCTAGTTTCGTTATGTAACTATTTATAGTATAGTAAATATTTATATCTATTTTTTTACTGAGGATTTGCACCATGTTTATTTGGACTTTGACACATTATTTATTATTTTTTTATTTGTTCATTGTACAAGTGGACACATTCTCTCACCTCAGCGGTCAAGATTAAGTCCTGAAAATCTCAACATGCTTACATTTCTTCATCACAACCTAGACTGAAAAAAACAACGCTTTAAATACATGTTTACAGCCATAAACTTGGTATTGCACTTTTGGTCTCCCATTTATCCTGCTTATAAGGAAGGACAGTTTAAGTTTATTTTTGTCTAATCTTAAAAGACCTTGCTTGTTTATTCCTTCTAATTTAATTTATTAAAATGGGAGATTTTTCAGTTTATTTTTATAAAAGACTTCTATAGTTCTATTAAAATGGTTCTTTCAAAAGTTTGTTGAAATAAAACCTTTGTTCAGTCAGAAAACGTGTTCTTATTCTTTTCAGGGTCTTTGCTATGAGAATTACTATTTAATACCGTATACCGCGAAACCGTCAAACCGTGGTATTGTTTTAGACGATTATCATACGTAAAAAATTCATACCGTTACAACCCTAGTTGCGGTGCTCAATAAGAATGAGAAAGTCACAGATATGCTGTTCTAAATAATGTCAGGACTCGGGAATGCAATATAATGTTAGCCCGCTCGCTCCTGTTCAAAATTACGCCAGAGTTACTGATTGCTAGCGTGTTTTATTCGGAAATGTATCCTCATGCCGCGAGAAATCTGGTCGGGAATGCAGACCTTTACTTTAGAATGTCCATCAGCTAATCAAAATCAAGCATTCAACTGCTGTTCTCTAAATGCCACCTACTGGACGAAAGTGAATTAGCATTTTTCATTCAGCCTGTATCCTGTTTTTTTTTTCAGATGTTTAAAAGTAGCATAATTTTACAAAGCTAAAAGTCAAATTTTAAAATTTTACGTGCTTTTTAATTAGAAAAAGTTATCTTGAAATGGTAGTTGCCAATTTGTATTCTTAAAACAAGACCAATCAGAATCGACGATATAAAAAAACAAGCAAGATTTGTGCGTCACTGCTAAATCTGCTGTTTTGGGTTGTGATTGCCAGATAACCGTAAGGGCTTCTGCTTCACGGAGGTCCTGCAGACAATGTGCCAGCAGTCGTCCACCAACAGAAACACCGTCACCAAGTCTGAGTGCTGCTGTAACGGAGGCCGCGGCTGGGGCTCGCTCTGTGAACTCTGTCCTCTGCCTGGAACCATCCAGTACAAGAAGATGTGTCCGCTCGGCCCCGGATACACCACTGACGGCAGAGGTCAGACAACTATTCATTCATTCATTCATTCATTCACAAACACAATGTGGAGTTTTATAAAGCAGTGCAGAAGCTGAAAACATCTGATCAGTCTTAAATGAAGATCAGTCCTGCAATGATGTGCAACTCAATGAACATTTCAATCAACGTTTTTATTGCTTGTGTTTCGCAGATATCAACGAGTGTGAGGTGATGCCCAACCTGTGTAAGAATGGCCAGTGCATCAACAGTGTGGGCTCTTTCCGCTGCCACTGCAATGTTGGGTACACCAATGACTTCACCGGCACCTCCTGCATTGGTACGTCCAAAACAAGTCCTTCAATACATCACAGTATACTTTATTTACTCCATTTTCTAACCTAATTGTAATGAATTAGTTACATGTATTCCATTACTCCCCAATGCTCCTTGTGTGTGGGGTTACTGCATCTCTCTCTCTCTCTCTCTCTTTATATATATATATATATATATATATATATATATATATATATATATATATATGCCTTAGTGTCCCTCCAGTGACGATATTAAGCCACATCGAGTGTGATATTGCGTTTATACAACAGGATAGTCTTTTGTATGAGGAACTACTTTCTTCCGCCATTTCTGCACATCTGCAGCTGACGTCAGAACAACAGAAACTGTAAATAATTCACCAGCATCACTTCAGAGCTAGTGTTTGAATGATTCTCTTGCGTAATGTCTAAAGTGATGACAAAACAGCTGATTTTGCTCACATTTTAAGATTATAAGGCTGAACGGCATGAAATGCCATCAGTCTACAGAGATACCTACGAGTGATTCTCTGTTGCAGTCGGGAGATGACAATATTACTACAGCACTATAACATACAAAACAGAGAGAGATCGACTTAGAATGTCACTTACTCGTTTTAGAACGATTTAATAAGCTGTAGTTTGAAGTTGTGATCTGCGCAGGACTACATTTTTAATCCCGCTCTCGCCAGGTTTAAGTCCGAACCCACCCGTTCCCACTTATATTCAGCATTTGTTGTCCTGCTGTCCGACCCGCCCCATTTTTTATGATGTGTTCGCGAACAACAGAGCAAAACCAAAAAACGCCCAGATACATGATATAGAGTTCAGACAGCCTATAACAAGCTGTCTGTATAAACACACACACACACACACACACCTAGACACACAGCACCAAGCAAGCGACACACAGCATCACGCGCTCTCTCTCAATCACACACATAGACAGCACCAAGCTAGCGACGCACAGCATCACACCCTCTCATTCACACACATAGACAGCAACAAACAAGCGACACACAGCATCACGCTCTCTCATTCACACGCATACATACACATGCTTGCTCGCTCGCTCCCTTGAGTAATACACAAGGGTGAAGAGTTAGACAGCTGGACGAGTACTGCTATTTGCAGAATATTGCACGGCAAGAACCAGACAGAACAGTTGTGTGTGTGTGTGTGTGTGTGTATGTATATATATATATATATATCAATAAAAGTTTAAGCTTATGACTAGGCCCACACAGGATCTGCACGTGCAGAATTCCACAAATTTCCGCAGATTTTTAGCCCATCATTGATTCTGTTTATTTACTTGTGTAAAGGTGTGTAATTTAAGTAATATTATTGACTAATATAAAACTATTTATATTACAGTTTGTCAAGTAATAGTTTCTGTCTTTTAGTATAGATATTATATGAAAGATTTGCTTTGTGTACCAAATAAAATGGATCTGATTGGATTTGCATCGTAAACATGAACTACAAGTTAAAAAGGTATTACTTTTTTTTCATATATTAAGATTTTAGTTGTGTAACTCCCAAAATAACTCTGCAGATCTGCAGAAATCTGCAGGTTTTTAACAATTCTGTGCAGAAATAGCAAAAAATGTCTGCAGATTCTGTCTGGCTCTACTTATGACACATAAATATGTACATATATATATATACAATATATTAGTTTAGTGATTGATAACTCATGTGGCCTAGTTCAGAGTGGCTTTTTATACACATTGCGATAACGTCAAGTGTGTATTGACAACTTAATGCTTTGCACACCAGATGAGCTCATAATATCAATTTGTTAATATTATAATGAATGCAAAAATAGACGTCGCTCTTTGGCACAGCGGGAATTTGAAAAGGCCAAAATATGCAGGAAATCTGAGACAATTTAAAATTAGAAAGCTGCATAAAATTGCTTCATTTGCTTGACTTTGCGTTAAATTCTGTGATTGCGGAATTGTGAAATCCTAGAGGCACGGCCTTATTAGACACAACAAAAGGTGCACAATTGTTCCAAAAGTGTGTTATTTGATGCATTATTACCCTTGTATTATACTATCTGATATTACAATATAACTCAAACGCTTTCTCTTTAGATATGGACGAATGCTCTCAGTCGCCCAAACCGTGTAACTTCCTGTGCAAGAACACTGAAGGCAGCTACCTGTGCTCCTGTCCCAGAGGATACATCCTACAGCCGGATGGCAAGACCTGCAAAGGTTAGTTCACAATTTAAGGCTCATGATGCCATTTCATGTTTTCCGTTGACGCGTTATAAGCTGTTTGTGCATGTGTGTGATTCTTGGACAGCGGGTACATTTAAAAAATAATTATAATCATTTTAATGAAAACCGATTTATATAATGATAAAAATCTTTAAATGTGTTTGTGTTTAATTAGGAACATTGTGTCCTGAAAGTATAATGTGCGCGTGTGTATTTAGGGACATTTTGTCTTATTTTCTAAAAATATTTACACCTATTTTTGACTCTCCACCTGCTGAATCATATATTTAGCTACAGTTATTATGAAATAATTAAGTCTAAGTTTCATCTACCAAGTGTACTCTCTACTAAGTTATAATATTGTTAATTAACATTTGTATTGAGGATCTATTTTCATATAAATCATCATTCGTTACGTTTTTGTGCGACCATTTTCTGCATTTCAATTAGCTTATAAGCAATAACGTTTGACGACTTTTAGAAAAAGATCTAAGAAGCTGGTGGCAGTCAAAACGTGTCATCGAAATCTTGTGAAAAGCGTCCATATTGAACCCCAAATCTTGCGTTCTATTATTAAACGTGACTTCTTGCTTTTTTTTTTTGTCCCAGATTTGGACGAGTGCTCAACCAAGCAGCACAACTGTCAGTTCCTGTGCGTCAACACGATCGGTGGTTTCACCTGTAAATGCCCCTCGGGCTTCACACAGCACCAGACGGCCTGCATAGGTGAGTGATATGAACTCAAAGCGCCCCGCTAGCACGCCTAGCCCCTCCAGTCTAAATAATTGAGCAGGTCATTTGGAGCTAAAATTGCCTCTATGCTTCATCTCGTAGACAACAACGAATGCAGCAATCAGCCGAACATATGCGGGTCCCGTGCCTCCTGCCTCAACAGTCCCGGCAGCTTCAACTGCGAGTGCCAGAAGGGCTTCTCTCTGGATGCCACGGGACTCAACTGTGATGGTTGGTGTCCCATTTTGTTTTTTGGAGAGGATTAGCATCATTGTTGATCAATAGCTCTATTTGGACTTGCAATGGGCTATATGCACAGCAAGTGTCGCCTCACAGCAAGGTCACTGGTTCAAGCCCCGGCAGGGCCAGTTGTCATTTCTGTGTGGAGTTTGCATGTTCTTCCCGTCTTGGTGTGGGTTTCCTCATAGCGGTTCCAGCCCTAACACATGCGGTATAGGTGAATTGGGTAAGCTAAATTGGCCCTAGTGTATTTGTGTCAATGCAAGAGTGTATGGGTGTTTCCCAATGCTAGGTTGCAGCTGGAAGGGCATCCGCTGTGTAAAACATATGCTGGATAAGTTGGCAGTTATTTCCACTGCGGCGACCACTGATTATTAAAAGGGACGAAGTCGAAGAGAAAATAAATGAATGACTAATTAACTGATGTTAGATGCACTTCTGCCAAAAGTGAAGTTTCACAAACTAATTTCGAGACGAGCTTGTGTTATAATCAACTACATCCTAATCGCTAATCATTAGCTAGCATATCAGATCATTAGCGGGAGGGCCAAAGGTTCAAGTTGTAATTGAGCCAGTCTGTACTCTCTGCACGGAGTTTGCATGTTCTCCCCGTGTTTGCATGGGTTTTCCCCGAGTACTCCGGTTTCCCTCAGTCTAAAAATGTACATACGCAAATTTTTATAACATTCACAAGCACTTAACACATACATACTGAATCAATTAGAACCACCATATTAATCAAAGTATAAAAAAAACGAAGTAGGGGACTCTCAAGAAATACCTGATGTCGTACCCCTCCTAATGCTCATTAAGCAGGAGGGAACCTTGGGCTTATTATCTCCAAGCTCAGGGTTTTCTCCTGGGACAGCATGCCAAACGTGCTATCATAGTCGAGCATTATCTAAGTGTAAACTCTTGAAATAAATGAACGAATGTCCGTCTAACCCCAGGTAGCCTAAAGTCATTTGTTTTTAACGGGAGCTTATGGCAAGGTCTGGCGAAAGCACCGGGGCTCGTTTTGGATGGTGTGGTCTTGAAGAAGTGTTGAAATGAGGTCAACTTTATGGTTTTAAGATATGACGCAGTTCAGCAGCAAGTCATCAAAACGAAAGCAGAGGTTGATTATTGCTTTGGGCGTCACAGTTAATAATGTAGGATGTGCCCAAGTTAGCGTTACCGTGAAGACCAAGGCTATCAAACATCTTCTATAGACAGCATGTTGAAATCAGACTAGCACTTAAACATGAGCTTGTAAGCTTCACTACACGAACAGCTTTTGATTGGTTTGTTATAGAAGACAATATTAAAAGACGATGCTGAAAAAGCAGTGCTGTTGGTAGGGTGGCCAGAGCAAATTCTGAAGGCGACCATGTGAATGCACAGTAAAATTGAAGGGTCAATCATTGTGCTCATAATGAATGACTGGAATCTTTTTGGATGGGAGATTAAAATACACAGGCATCTTAGAGGAGATCAAGTGTAAACAGGAGGACCAAAAAATGGATATGGGCCAAAGGATCAGATCTGTGCATTAAGACTTCTAGTGTAGACACAGCCTATGCGCGATCCCAGAATCCCAATAGAAACATTTATACTTCTATTAGATCAGTTTCTACAAATCTGTTTTCTTACAGACGTCGATGAATGCGGTGGAAACCACCGGTGCCAACATGGCTGCCAAAACATGATGGGAGGATATCGCTGCGGCTGCCCACAGGGTTACGTTCAACACTACCAATGGAACCAGTGTGTGGGTAAGTGCAGTACTTGTGTTTGGAAGACTCGACAAGAAAGCTCAGCTGCTGAATGGTTCTCATTTCTGCATCTTCCTTCCCTACCTAGATGAGAACGAATGCACTGGAAACCAAGTCTGTGGGTCGGCGTCTTGCTATAACACTCTGGGCAGCTATAAATGCGTGTGCCCGTCAGGTTTCGACTTTGAGGCCACTGCTGGGGGCTGTCAGGACGTTAATGAATGCTCCATGGGTAATAACCCCTGCAGCTATGGATGCTCCAACACAGATGGCGGATACTTGTGTGGATGTCCAGGAGGCTTCTACCGAGCTGGACAAGGGTCAGTATTTAAGCTGTCAGGTGTCAATTCCAGTTCTTGTAGTGCCACAGCTCTGCATAATTAAGTTCCAACCCTGCTCCACCACACTTACCTTAAGGTTTCTAAGGACTCAATTAGTTTGATCAGGTGTGTTTAATAAGAGTTAAAACAAAACCGTGCAGAGCTGTGGCCCTCCAGGACCTGGAATTGACACCTGTGAAGTACAGTAGATCAAAATACCAGCCTGAAAGTTTATACAAATCCTGAAGACCTGAATTATTTTAGTCAAGGAATATTTAGCATGGGCTAGAGTTTTCATATGTTTCTAGATGTTTCCAAGCACTATGCAAGTATCTTGGGACAAGTTTGGAGCCAAACTCTGCATGATGTTGGTCCTCCAGAATCACGATTGGAAATGAATGAATTGGAAAACTATAGGGTGGACTAAAATGTTTTACCTTTTCATTTCCAGGCACTGCATCAATGGGGTGGGCTTCCAGGGTCAGTTTGGCTCGGAGGGAGGAGACGATGAAGAGTCGCTGTCACCTGAGGCCTGCTACGAGTGCAAGATCAACGGTGACCTGGGAAAGAAAGGCCGTCACAGGCGTAATGCTGATGATAATGAGCTCAAGGTAATTTTCACTATGCCCAAATGTAGACCGCTAACCCTGACCTTAACCCCTAACCCTAAATAAAACATATAAAGAAGTCATGTTGATACTTGCACCAAAGAATGGAATTTGTCGCACACATGTAAACGCCCAAGATCTGATTTTTTCATATCAACAAAGAGCTACCTTTCTAATATGGATTTTAATCGGATACATTTTAGATATGCATCTAAAACGCATCCAATTCACTTTGATTTGACTTTTTTGATTAATGTGTTACAACTTATTTTTTTACACAATGGGCTGTCCTTATAACATAGGAGTTCCTGGAGGGGCGGTGTCCTGGGGCCTCATGTACGAAGACTTGCCTGGAAATCTTACTAAAACATTGCGTACGCACAAAGCTGTAAATGTGCGTACGCAGAAAAAAATTCAGATGTATGAAACACTGCGTACGCCGAATCCCACGCATATTCTTTTGTACATCCAAATGAACGTGAAACTGAGCGCAACATGCACGAGCACAAAACCCCTCCCTGCCTCCTCCCCCGTATGAATATGCTAATGACTCTACTTTGGCAAAACCCAACGAAAAAGCAACGGCAAAAGCAAGCAAGAGAAACTTTGAACAGAATGTGAATTGGAGGTGCTGCTTTCGGAGGTAGACTGGAGAAAAGCGGTGTTATTTGCAAGTTTGTCCTCCGGAATTAAAAAAAATAAATAGAGTGGGGAGAGTTTAGCTGATGCGGGTAACACAGTTGGGTCTGAATATCGCACTGAGTGAATTAAAAAAGAAATAGTGTGATTTATAGGTGTAAAATGTTGCAGTACCCTTAACAGTCTCAGTGGCGCAGCTCGTAAGACGCAAGTCAACATGTTTTGACACGTTCGAGCATGAACTCGGTTCGAATCCAGCGTCTGATGAACTTTCTTTTTTCCCCCCGCTACATATCAGATTTTGCCAACTAATTATCACAAGAAAGACAAGTAGGAATCAATAATAAGTTTGTGCATCATATTTTATTTCCAAATTTATTGATTGGAAATGTTTCTGATTCACGCATGCAAATTCATCTTCAGATAGTGTCTTTATAGCAATGTGCGTGCAGTAGATAGCTCAGATTACATTGGGAAAACAGGCGACCGCAGCAAATTGCGCTTTAATGTTTAGCTGGTCAACTGTACGGTATGGAAACCTTATATACCTGCTAGATAACACAACTGCCTCTAGGAGTCGCCACTGGAAATAAAACAGAAACACACAAAAAATGTGCGTACGCCAGCCATAAAGCTGGCATGGAGCTGCGCACATTCCCACGTTCAGTTCATTTTTAGTAAATCCAAACATGAGCGATTCTGAGCGTGAAACCTGGCGTATGAAAAGTTTTTGTGCGTACGCAGCGTTGATACATGAGGCCCCTGGAGTTTAGCTCCAACCCTAAATCAGACACACCTAAACAAGCTAATAAAGCTCTTACTACGTATACTAGAAACTTCCAGGCAGGTGTGTTGAAGCGAGTTGGAGCTACGATCAGCAGCCCTCCAGGACCGACTTCAGACATTCCTGCTGTAAACAATTTCTTGAAGTCAGAACTTGACTTTAGATGGACATTTTTCCCAACATCAGTTCATTTGACCCAATTGTCGGCCCATTTTTAAATGTCAAAAGTCAACTACCTTTTATAACATTTTGAAATATTTTCTCCCGCCCTCAGGAGACGGTGAGCATGGCCAGCATGGACATCCAGACCTCCATCCCCATGAACTTGAGTCTGGCGAAGCTCCTAAACAAGGAACCACTTCTTGAGTTGCTTCCAGCCCTGGAGCCGCTCGAGCACCACGTGCGCTACGTCATAACGCACGGAAACCAGGGCGAACACTTCCGCATCCTGGAGCGCCGTGACGGGAAGAGTGTGCTGCGCCTGGGCCGGAGGCCACCAGCTCCAGGTTTGTACCGGCTGGAGATCGCCAGCCTGCGTCTGTTCGGTCCGCGCAAACTTCAGCAAATGGAGGACCAGCACGACAGCGACTACTTGCTAGGGGAAATCGGCGACGCACTGCGCATCAAGCTGCACATCCACCTGCACTGAGACTGACCCTTGACCCCTATGCCCTTCACTGCAGGGCGTTAGCTCTGAGAGACTGTGTCCATATACCGTCAAGTTTTTTATTTTGGGGTTTGTTTTTATTTGCCGATCTTTCATGTCAGCGTTGATTTCCACCAAAGTTGGGTGGAATCCAGTGTTTCCCAACTCTGTTCCTAAAGACACACCAACAGTACACATTTTCAACCTCTCCCTGATTAAACACACCAGAACCAACTCATTAGAACATTAGAAGAGACTCCTAACCCTGAATGGATGAATGGGTCAGATAAGGGAGACATCCAAAATATGCACTGTTGGTGTGCCTCCAGGAACACGGTTGGGAAACACTGACGTAAATCAGAGCCTTAAATTAGCGCACCCACTCGTACTGGAGGGACAATCAGATAATATTAGAACGATCTCATTTTTAACTTTTTGTGAAATGACATTTCGGTCTTCAAATGCACAAAAAACGTTGCATTGCAGACGATTAAGAAAGACGTTGCGTTGCATTGTAGATGATTAAGATAGATATGATCACTCGCCTTGATATCTCAATGCAAACTGGGGTCAAAATGGTTTATTCCATTCAGTATTTAGATTCATTCATCAAGTATTGTACTGTTACCGAAAAAGGACTGCAGGAACTACCGCGATTTTTCAGGTTTAAGAGTTCAAATCGTAAACGTTTCCTTTTTATGGGAACTTCTGGAGTGTTTGCATGAGCTGCCACATTGTGTTACCTCATTTCTACTCATACACACACACATATGTACAGCCGATAGGACAAAAGTGGTGCTAAACGCTCAATATTTGCACTGGGCCTCCACTGCGTGTTTAATCAGGGAAACGTCATTCCAAAAACGGCAACGGGCATCCAAAGTGTTTGAATATGCATGCAACGGCGCATCCATGATTCAAAGCATTTGCTTCCCCATGCATGCGTGCTCCAGAGTGTGTTTGACAAAGGCGCGCTTGGCAAACAGAGCACATGTGAATGGAGAATTGGAGGCCTGTTGGGTAAACCAACCAGAGGCCGTTTTTGATTGCAGCTGGAGACGTGCGGTCTCGATGGTACATACGGATTGTTTGGCGAGCCATCCTCCAAAAACACTCCAGATGTGGACATGCAAACACACATTTTACAACCTGGGAACGGCAAACCAACCCTCGTTTCTCACAAGTTAACGGTGCTACGATTCCAACTGTATTACGAACAAACTTGATTTGTGCGCTAACGTGACATTTACAATAGATCTCTTGTGTTATTTTGGTTTTATTTTATTTGGTGTGATTGTCTTTTTTGTACTGTCTCAATGCTGAAAAATCAATACTATCGAAGCTTGTTGAAAAATTTAATTGTATATTTTAAAAGTGAAATGTAGATTTTTCTTTTGGTTTTGTTTGTATTTCTTTCTCTTTTTTGTATTCCTGAGCATCAAGACTGCCAAACCAAATATTTACTTGTAAACGTTAGATAAATAGCTTTAAATCTTTTCCTCTGATCAAATCATCCTTAATGAACTGTCGCTGAGCATTGTGACAGACGTCACTGTTTACAAGAGTTCGTCTATTGACAATTAAACACATTATACTGTACTTTATTGTGACGACCAGCAACATTGGACTGTTTTTCAAAGGCTGTGCTCTGAATCTAATCTTCAGGATGTTTTCATTTAAACAAAATGCGCAAAACTACCCGATCCTGGTGCTAGAAATAGTTTCTTGAACATCAAAAGTAACTGCACTGTACGACAGCCTGAGCTATATTTATGCATAACCATTGGTCTAACATGGGGGAACTTGTATACGTTCATATCTTTCTTTGTGTTGATGCCACTACATGTAAAAGAGCGAATGTGCGTGACTGTACTGTATATGTCCGAAATCAGCAGCAAACTTGAAATAGTCATCAAGCTAGAGTTGAGTTACCAACTTCAGACCAAAGAAAACCAGATAGAAATACGATCTATGGAAATATGCAGATTACATATATGACATATGGGTTTATATTTGGATTTCACATAAATAAATGTCATATATGCAACATATTTCAAAATATAGCAACAATTAAGTAATTCCAATGGTTGACAAAAAAAAAAAAAAAAATATATATATATATATATATATATATATATATATATATATATATATATATATATATATATAAACCAATATTTTTCAAACCAAGATTTTGAAATATATATCGCATATGACCATTTTTATATATATATATATATATATATATATATATATATATATATATATATATATATATATATATATATATACATATATTTATACATACATATATATATACACACATACATATATATATACACATATATATATATATATATATATACACACACATATATATATATACATATATATATATACACACACACACACACACACACACACACACATATATATATATATATATATATATATATATATATATATATATACACACACACACATATATATATATTAATAAACAAACCAATATTTTTGCAAGATTTTAAAATATATATCGCATATGACCATTTATATATATATGTGTGTGTGTGTATATATACATATATACAAATAATATATATATATATATATATATATATATATATATATATATATATATATATATATATATATATATATATATATATGCAAAATCCAAATATGAACTTATTAGTCATATATAGTAATATGGAAGAAAGTGGATGGCTCAGGATAAAGTCAAACCTTTTAAGAGGCATCTGTAAGAATTTTTTTGAGCCATAAAGATCCACGACCTGAGCATCCACCATTTCCACATGCATTGTTTTAATACTGTATTCAATTGGATGCATCCAAACGATCCGCACAGTGTTTGTGAACATCTGTACGAACCAACCAATGGCAATAAAACAACATGGGTTATATTTTTAAACCTGTCTTTCTGTTCTCTGTGTTCGAAGGCCATTTTTAAAGAGATTTATCGAGTGCGTTGAGGTAGAAATGGCTTATTGATTTCAGTACACTTAGGAAGCAGAAACTGAATAAATTCAGGTTTTATTTCAGACAAAGAGGAATTAGGAAAATATCCAATCTACTTACAAAAGCAACGCAGAGCTCCTCCGTTTCTTGGCACGTCAACACACTTTGCGCATCAGCTACAAATTCGAGACGACACGTTAGCAAAAAAGGGAACTCCAAGTCTGAGTCTGGATATAAAAATAAAGCTTTTGGGTCGTTTCCAAATCTCCAAAGAGTTTCGGCAGGTTAGCAAACAAACAACTGACACTTTTCCAGATATGACAACATATGGCTTACAGTATATACATATAGTCAGAAGAAGACAGAGTCAACTATACAATCGATCGACACTCAGTATGTAAAAGTCTTAAAGGGGTTTTGCTCCAAAATCCAGAAAATCCTCAGAAATATAAAGCACAGAGTTTAGGACGGGTTTGTTGAAGGCTGCAGGTGCGTTGGACATCCTAGGACTTTCCAACAATGCTGAAAGTTTGTGTAAAGATGTAAAATCATCATGCTGGATACTAGACAATCATACTTAAAAGGATCTCAATCAGTATAGATGGCACTTTACTTTGACGCAAATGAAAACAAGACTGTGAAAGTGGCAAGAATTCTTGAAAGTATTAACCTCTAAAGGTCCAAGGTGTTTTTTTTTTGTTTTGTTTTTTTTACATGCATTTTTTGCTATTTAGGCTTATTGGAACATAATTAGAATAAAAATCTAAGTACTGTCTTTTGATAAGATGTACTTTTAGAGAAAAATGATGTCCATATATGTGGACTCGTGGTCGAATTTACATAACACTTTTTCCTGAATGTTTTTTAATGCATATTTAACATGATTATCAGAGAGTAAACCCATTTTGGACAGTTAAAAATAGGGTTTGGGACATTTCATATGCTGCAAAACAGTTGCAGGATGACACTGTATGTCTGTAACAAAATATAAAACATTCAAAGTATCTTAAATAGCCACTTAAGGGCTAAAATGTGTTGTCCACATATGTGGACACTCGGGCCCAAGGAGGTTAATGCTTTCTATTGACGTTGAATGGAGAGATGTCAAGTTGCTGAACTGAATTGAGGATTGAAGGAGTTAGGTTGGGTCCAAGGTTCATTGCAGAACACCGTAAGCACCAACGCAAGCGTTAGCCAATCAGATCATTTTATGCAAATGCTAGTGCAGACGCTAGCCAATCACGTTTGTGCAACACCAAAGAATAGTGGTCTGTCAAAATGGAGGAAAAGCTTTTTTATTACAGTTGGTAATCACCAAGTGCTTCATGACAGATCTTCATACACCACTATTACTTTTGTGCCTGTGTTTTGCGGTTAAACCTGGATGTGATTGGCTGTCATCATGACAATTGGGCCATTGTGAGCTTCAGACATGCCAATGCCCTGTGTGAACAGGCTGTAAACCATTTGCAAACCATTTCTTAGCATTTAAATAGCAAAGCAACAATCAAGCAACCTAAAAGTTTAAGTAAACTTTTAAAATGTTTAATGTTTAAATTTGCTAACATAAACTACGTAAAAAGTTTGTCACATTTTTGCAGTGTTAAATGTTCGTTAGGCGGTTCATTCTGCTGTGGTGACCCCTGATAAATAAGGAACTAAGCCTAAGGAAAAATGAATGAATGAATCGTTCGTTAAACTATTTATTTTATTCAATAAAAAACATAGTTACGAATGTTTTGCAATGTTCATCAAACCATGGATTTATAAATGCTTTACGTTAGAATTAAAAGTGTAATGTGTTTGTTAAAGAGTTCATTTATTTGTTTACTTTTAGGTAAATATATGGCTTACAACAATTTAGCAACACACTTCTGGGCATATTCTTAGTTAAATCATGGATACAATAACGATTTACATTACAAATGTACGCCACAATATAGTTAGGTGTTGAAATGGTTTAATTTTTAGTAGTACAAATTGTTTGCTAAACCAACTATTGATGTAAAATGATCATTTTATCAGTCCATTCAGATTTCTGCAAGGAAATTTTAAATATTTGTGCCCTAAAATGAATGATTTTGTGAATGCATTTCTTAAAACTTGCATTGTTTGGTCCGATTTTTGTGTTTTGCTATGAAAATACACAAATCCTAATCTGCAAAAAAAAAAAAAAAAAAAAAGACCCACTGGACTCGCAAAATCCTGAAGGGACTGATTTATCAATAGTGTTTAAATAAAAATATCCGAATAAATGTGCTTGTTTTTAAATATTTGTGTATCGGACCAAGGAGGCCCAAGTTGGAGCCCTCACTCTGGTCCCCCGGGCTCTGTGCTGGTTGGGTAAATTCCAAATTGAACCAAAACACTCGATTACAATTGGCAAGCAAAATTCGGCACTTTGCAACCTGCAAAACCTGGGAACTTAAAAAAATAAATAAATAATTAAATTTGTGTATCAAAAAAATGACACAACTACCGTAAAAAAAAGTAGCGACAGGACGCGAAATAAACTTTGTAATGTTTGTTCATGAACAGATAAAATGTTTCAGGTTCCTACTGCAAATCATACGTTTCAAGTTTTTTTTCAACTTTTTTGTTAATATATTTTTTTTTATTTCCGATGGCTAAACACACACACACAAAAAAAAAAACGATCACAGCCCTTGTTTCCAGTTGCGTCAAATAAACTCATCTCCTACCGTACACTGAGGAGTTTCTTGATGTCTTCTACAATTACAGATATATCCACAGTAATATTTACAGTGAAGGGTAGCAATAGCTCACAGTGAGTGTCACATTGGGCACCTTGAACCATCGACTCTCATCTTAGTGTTGTCAAAAATATTGATAATTTCGATCCTGAAATATTTAAAATGATACAATCTTGTTTTTGATTTGTTTCGACACTGGCGTGTTCCCTCTTTTTGTTAAATCTCTAAAGTTAATCTAGGTATAACCTCCCTCAGTAATAATATTAAGATCGTTAATCTTAAATCTTTTGCTTCAATCCTAAAATAAGACAACCAAGTGCACTAATTAAGTTTTTACTAGTAATTCATTGCCTTTCGGACTTAAAAACTGCTGACATATCTTGTTTAAAATTAAATTTAACTTGCAACAGCTAAAACGTTGCACGGTTTATTTTCTTTTTACTTCAATTCTATACTCCTAATGTTGTGAATTTGATTAATCGTGGTATCGAAAACAGTATCGAATTTCGATATTTTTCAAGGTATTGTATCGAAGTTGGAAATTCCAGTATCGCCACAACACTACATGTATATTCAGTATAGATCTCACAGACCATCCTGAGGAAAAAGAAGAAGAAGCTACAGCTGAAGAAACTAACAACCCTGTTAACTTCACTAGTGTGATGGGAAAGTGACACTTATACATTACATTAACACTCTTACAGCACATTCAGTATACAGCTATGGAAAAATGGGGATAACCGACCCAAAATTAACACTCATTTCCTCACATTCAAGTGTTTGTAAGCTTTCATGACTTTCTTTCTTCTGTTGAACACACAAAAAGACATCCTGAGGAATTTTTTGGGGGGGGAAAGTAGCCATTGGCATCCATAGTAGGGATATAAAATATTATGGAAGTCAATGGCTGTTTTTTCCGCAGTTGTCTTCAGTATATCTCCCCTAATGTTCAACAGAAGAAAGAAACTCTTGATGGCAGACGTTTAATTTTGGGGTGAACGGTACCTTTAGGGGACCACCTGACAGTTCTTGGTTTCTGTGGATTTGCTAGATTTATTAGGTATGGGTTAAAACTTATTGTTTTACCCAATTTTCTAAATAAAGTACTGTCATTTGGATTTTTTAAATGATAGTTGGCCAGAATGGCAAATTATTTCAATTGTTGTGACTAAAAACCATTGGTTATTCATTTAAAACTTTGGTAACCTTTGTCATTTTAACAATCTTTATCTCTTTATTTTTTATTTAGGATTTGGAAGAAACGTCATCAGTAGTTTAAAGAATGAAATTAAAATGGGCTTTTAATCAAACAAAAAACTATAAATCAAAAATGTAATAAGGATTGTGGAGTGGTTTCTAGATTGTTTCCATAGCTGTATGTTTACTTAAACCCATGCATAATAAATGCAGTATGTTGCACATGTGTTCCCTGGGAATCAAACCTAGTTAAAGGATTAGTTTGTTCACCTTCAGAATGAACATTTCCTGACACATTACGCCCCTGGTCATCCGAGAGGTTTCTTTCTTTCTTCAGTGGAACAGAAACGCAGGTTTTTGAGAACTCATGCAGGGTTTTTCTCCATACAGTGGACTGATAGGGTGCTCGTTGGTTTGAACTTTTGAACTTTAGTTTTAAAGAGCTCTGAATGATCCCAGATGTGGAATAGGAGTCTTAATCTAGCAAAACTATTAGGATTTTTTTTTAGAAAAACTGAATTTCATATAATTTCAGTAACCATTTGTGTTGTACAAGTTACTTCCAAGCTGTAATATATTCAGTGCTTCCTGCATGTTTGTAATATACTTGCGGTGGTAGCCGGATTGAAACACACCTTTTACCCACAGCACATAAATAGTTAACTATATGCGACAAACAAAACATAATTTGATTTTTAACACAATTTGTATTATTATCTGTTTTAAACTGACTTTTCAATGGGTTAAAGTTTTAAAAAAGACTGTTGAAATAAATAAAAAAATCCACTATTTCTCTTTGATGCCATTCAGGAGCCATGTGCACCCACTGACAGGTCAAATCTGCTTCTCTCAAAGCTTCTATCTCTTGCTATAAGTTCAGTTTGCTTTATTGACATGACATTTTGTAAAGTATTGCCAAAGCATTTTGCCAAAGCATTTTGTATTGACATCATCAAATTAATAAAATATACAGCAGACGAGAAATGACAGAAAAAAAAGGAATAAAAACAGTTAATATCTCTAAAAATATATAATTACAAGAATAAAATGTGTAGATCATTTAAATATGGGTGTAGATTACCCATTTCTAATGCTGCGTTCACACCAGACGTGGAACGCGCGTCAACCGCGAGTGATCTATGTCAAGTCAATACAAATGCGTGAATAGACTTCTTGCGGTGCAATACGCGCAAATGGAGCAGCGCAAAATGCGTGAATGGTGCGGCACGAATGACGCAAAATACGCGAATGGCACACGCGAGTTGAGCGTTTTGTGCGTTTGACGCGCTTAATGCGCGTTTAGCACAAATCACTCTAATTCGAAAATCTGAACTTCAGCAGACATTCGCGTCACGTTAACCAATCAGGTGCTTGCTCTTGTGGGGGCGTGATTATGATGTATCGCCTGTTGTAGGGGAAATCCTCCAGCCAACACCGACAAAAAGTTCATCAAATTGAGCTTGGCTCAGTCAGAAGCACCGCTGAAAGCCTCCGTCATCCAGGTACAGTTTCTGGAGGAGTTTATGAGCTCACAGTGCTGGATGCACCTCTGAAAGAATCTAGTTGACTCGGAAACTGCCCTAAACGTATCAACGCTGTTTTTCAGCCTTCATGAAGTACATAAACACTGTTATTTTCTTAATAAAATCCATGTTAGCCATTTAGCTATGAAGCTAGAGTCACCGGGCAGACAGAAGCCCTGCCCATCACGTGAATCGGCATCTGTTCTGAAGTGAATTTGACGCGCCAAGGATGCGGAATTGACGCGTGAATGAAGCGAGTACCCTCAAATGTTCACGCGCTATTTACGTGCAATTTATCCAAGCGTTCCGCGTCTGGTGTGAACACAGCACAATGGTGTACAAATATTCTGCAGCCAAATTAGATGTAATTTCATCCTCTGAGTATTTAGTAAAGGTTTTCTGTGTCTTTTAGATTAAATAGTTAATTATTTAACGTCTCTCTCGCTTTCGTGGCTGTGCGCATAAAGCTTGGAAAACGAAAGCAAAACCAAATCCTGGTCATTTTAGTAGATTTAAAAACCCTGGCCAGAAGTAAAAAGGTCAGAGTGTTGACAGTTCTCGTGTACACAGAATGAGCAGTACAAAACAGGTAAACAAACAACTTAATCGATTGCGGATGTTTGGTTATATTAGGCGGACACAAAAATAAATAAATAAATAACAATAAATAAAATATTTTTTTTTAAAGTGTAAAAGAATGATAATAATAATAGTAAACAATTATATGTCACTAAATATACTTGCCGTTATTATATGTGGGCGGCCCGCACAAGTAAATTCTATGTGTGGGAAGCAGTGACATTACAGATTACTCGTCGCTGGCTGTTGTTTATGTGAAAGTGGTCCCGTACCTTACAGTATTTCCATCTCAGAATTGTAATGCCACACATAATAATGTGCTACTCTTGAGTTATGTACACCGAAATAATGATAGATTCTTTTTAACAAGTAAATTGAGCAAAAAGTGTGTGGTAACGTACATGGAACTCAACATTTACAGAGTAAACTATGACTTAAAATTGATATTAATGTATTACTGCATTACTGGACAGGTAACACAATTTTTAACTTAATCAAGAATGCATGATTATATGGTCTCATGGCTTTGCAATCAAAAAAATACCATTATAATGGAGGTTAATGGGGCAAAAATAGCCACCAAACATAACAAAGGGATAGTCAGTTTGGCCACAGTGTATTATTGAAAAGATTTTCCCAAAATGTGTGTCAAAATAGGATTTTCTTTACCAAATATCCCTTTTGCTAAAAAGCAGAGAAAGTTAAAGACAAATTTAGACACAAACCACCCTAGAGTGGATGAAAACAACAGCACACAAGGGTTTAACTGCAATTTAGCACCATAGAAGTCCACTGTATGGAGAGAAATCCATCTTGTGTCTCTCATTTATTTTTGACTGAAGAAAGAAACGAGTAAATGACTAGTTCATCCTGGAAGTGTATTAATCCTAAGCTACAGGATTGGGAAACAGCTCAGGTTAAGGCTGCGGTGTCCTGAATGTCCTCTAAACCAAAGCATAATCAAACTGGCCCCGCTCGAAGCCCTCCTTGTGATCGGTCCAAGAGGACGCAGGCATGCGGCTATAAGGGTCCAGCAGGATCCTGAAGCAGCGCACCAACAAGAAAATCAAAAACAGCATCAGGAGACCCACGAATGCGAACGCCGTCCTTTGCTCCGCGTCCCCACCAAGAGGAGGGCTGCTGGGGGCCCCGGCGAACGACGGCCCCGCGGACAGCAGCTCGTAGTCCAGCGTGGACACATCGCTCATCCTCCAGGGACGCCCAATGCAGAATTTACAAGCGCTCCGGACTGTGGGCTGAACAGCCAGATTGGTGCGCAAAAAAAAAACAAAAAAAACAGGCCAAAGTCAAGACTTGTGACCGTGTGACGGACACTCAAAGTGACACAAGTGGAGCAATCCGGGGTCAGAACGACAGGACGGTTTATTTCAGACCCGTCACATTGGAGAGGCGATGGGACATGACAGAACGAGCTGCCGCGGAGCATAAAAAAAGCAGCGTCTCTCGCAGTAGGGATTGGGATAATTGGTTGCAGATGGGACCGCGGCTTGCAGGTGTTGACCCCGCGTTGGGCGCCAACTTACGCTAAAGTGACAAGTTTCCCAATTCTGGCTGAAAGTGCCAGATGAGCATTAAATGAGCCACGTTTGATTAGCTTGTGTGCATTTGTGGAGTCAGAAATGATCTTCTTGATAGTCTCTGAATGCGTTTTTCTCACAGAAATAACTTGTAGGCCTGGTGTTACTGATGGTGCAGGGCGAACGTCTGGATCTGATGTAGGCGGACGGCTCAGAGTCCACACTGATGACGCCTTCGCTGCTGCGGTTTTGGCCTGTGGTCTTTTGTACTTCAGCCTGTAAACATAAAAACATTCAGCATTTGATTCAGTTCAGTGGAACGAGCACCAACTGCTCCAACACAAAAACCTCAAAGTGAAGAGATGTTATGTGCTTTTACAGACGTGTGCCGAGTTAAATGTTTATTTTTTTGGAAATACAGTATTGATATAGTCTTGAAATGAACAGGAGTCTAACAGAATGATGGAGAAGAAACGATTAAGATGTCTTCTTGAGATATAGGTGGCATATTAGTTTATCTGTTTGATCTGTTTTACATCAATTTTATTAGACAACCTTTTCATTTATAAACTTCTCTGACATTATGTGTGTAGTTTTTCCTTTTTATACTGATCGGTTTCTGTATGTGTGTATATATTTGTATTTTTTGATGTAATTCATGTTGTTATCAGTCATGATGTAGTCATGGTTCAGGATTGGTAGAGCTACACATCGATGAATTGGCTCTTCAGTGTTTGAACTCTCAGTAATGAATAAATCACACTGAACTGAACTAAACTGAACTGAACTTAAACACTAAAACCTGAACCACACTGTTCCAGTTACTGTGACCATTTATGTGAAGCTGCTTTGACACAATCTACATTGTAAAAGCGCTATACAAATAAAGCTGAATTGAATTGAATTGAATGCTGTACACATTAAACTAAGTCAATGTTAAATTACCATTGCTGATGACCATGTTCACTAGAATACGGTTTAACTAAAAATAAAAACGATCAAGGTGTGTGCTATATGCACTATATTCCTATTTTTACAGTACATTTCAATTGAAAAAAAAAACATTTCATTTTTGAAAACATTTTTTAAAGGGCACCTATGATGAAAATCAACTTTTGTAATAGAGTAAAATCACTATGTAATTTTTAACCGCTATAATCACCACAGCTGCAGGGTGCCAGTAAGTGTGCATGTGTGTGTGTGTAGGCATGGGCCGCTATAAGCTTTTGACGGTGTGATAATCTTGGATAAAAATATCACGGTTTTGCGTTTACGGCTCTACAATCTGTTCTTTTTAAATGTCTGAATAAAGAAAAAAAGTGTTTCCCCCTTTAAACAAATAATTTTTTTTCTTTGAGAAACATTTAAAATATTTTGGAACAGTAAACATGTTAGGCTGAATAATTCAAATGAATCATTAACTTCTGCTATCTTCGTTAGTTTCTAAAACACAGATTTCTTTGCAATTTAAAATGACGTCTTAGGATAGTTTGTTGTTCTAAAAAAATAATAAATAAATAAGTAAATTTTTACACACGCATTAGGAACGGTATTAAATTTTGGCAGTTTTAAAAACTTGACTTTTACAAACCACGGTATACCTTAAAAACGGTTATCATCCCATGCTTATGTGTGTGTATATGTATACTGCAAACAGCATTTGTATAACACTCATCGTTTCAGAGAGGCCTGAATAGATTCCACCACAAATACGTCAATAAGCTGTTATTCAGCTTCATCCGTGTCCGTCTCTATCACTGACTGCTGTTTATCTGCTGTACCATACTGTATGCACGTCGGAGCGGTGGGCGGGGAGAAGCAGCTCATTTGGATTTTAGGCCACAGGCTACAAAAACAGCTACATAGTACTCAGACAGCAAAATAGACATATTCTACATTATTTAATAAATAATCCGATGGACATTTTGAGCGGAAACTTGACAGACACATTCTGGAGCAACAAAGTCTTATCTTACATCTTGTAAAATGTGCAAAATAGGAGCCCTTTAAAGAATTTACTTCAATTTATTTTATTTTTTTTTATAAATGTTTATATTTAATTGTTAAAAATACAATAGAATACATCAGTTCAAGAAAACCATTTTTAAAAAAGCTCATTATTATTATTATTATTATTATTATTATTAATAATATATTAAGAATAAATGTAGAAATTCAGTTTTTTATTAAAATGGTAACTGGAAAAATGCAACTACAGGAAAGAAATTTAAAAAAAAGTTTACTAATAATAAAATAATTAATTTAATAAATTTTCAAAAATGCTTTTGGATTGGAACAATGAGATGCAAAAAAATAAAGATTTATCATGATAATTTTTAGGAAAACAATAGATATTTAAAAATAAATAAATAAATAAAAGCATGTTTTATGTGCAATTTGTTTCAAATGCAACACAATTTCATAGATGAACTTCAAGAGCCCCCACTTAGATATTGTTCGACACTATAAGCAAGTTTGGCATGCTGTCCCGGAAGGGGAACCCTGAGCTCTGAGATAAGTTAACCCAGGGCTCCCACCTGGTCAATTAGCATATAAAGGAGTCCAAGATCAGGTAGTTCTCGAGAGCTTTCCCTGGTGAAGGAGGAAATAGAGTGGAAGAGGCGATTCTTCCAAAAGGAAGATAAGGCAGTAGGGTGAAATCGGTTGTAGGCTTGTATACATCTGATTGGATTATTGCTGATTACAGATAAGAGACCAGGCGCGATCAATCATATCACATGTTCTTCTTGAAATTAGTTCAAAAACTTCACTTAAAATTAAATGCATGTCAGATTTGTATTTGAAACCTTTGCAGACTTGTCTAAATTTGTTTGGGGTAAAAAAAAAAATCAAGTAAATGTACGTAAAATACATAATCTTGATAATCTTGGATAAAAATATCACGGTTTACGGTATTGCGTTTACAGCTCTACAATATGTTCTTTTTAAATGTCTGGATAAAGGAAAAAATGTTTCCCCTTTAAACAATTAATTTTTTTTGAGAAACATTTAAAATATTTTGAATATTGTAAAATCATTGAATATTGTAAAATCAAGCAAATCTGCAAAAAGAATAATAAATATTGTGCAAAACTATAAACTATGACTGACTTTATTTAAGTTACGATTAACTAAACTTGCAATACATCTCGCAAAGCTGTATACAGATTGAGAAAAGGTTTTGGGTATGATCTAAATCTCTTTCCTGTAGCCTGTACACAGCAGATTCTTCAATGCCGCGGTGATTCGGTTAATAATTTCCAGTCTTTATAAAGTCATTCATCAAATCTGATAGACTGAACAAACATTGCAGTTAATTCAAGCAAAACTCCTCCATTAACTCTGACGGAGTGTGAGACGGAGAGTCTGATCACAGAACTCTGAGAGCAGCAAAACGCTGTGTGTTAAATGTCATCTTTATCCATCAGCGGTGTGTTTTCTGGAATCATTAGCCGAATCAGCACTGCAGGATGAAGACCACTGGGAAGTGTCTGTCAGCGGAGCGTTATTTTGAAGTGAAGAACAACAGACATGATGGAGGAGGAGAAGATGAGGAGAGCAGGGTGACGACGCACTCATTCAGGACACACACTCATAGTAACACTGCAGCCACAAAGAACACGGCCAGTTGTGTTGTTTGCTGTCGTATTCTGTGGTAAACAATTGTGTGGTAATAACAGTACATAGAAAAATAAATAGTGCCAATTAAAATATAAAAAAAATAAATATGCTAATCATTATTAAAGCAATGAATTAAAATGCATAACTGACATTTAAGAAATGTAAAATTACTACAGACAAAACATGCTGGTGCACAACACCACCATCATTGATCATATTTCTGCTCTCTGAAAGCTCATGCAGAGACATCTGACTGGAAACGTGCTCAGGTTGATCAGATCTGCATGTATGGGAGCAGGTGAGAGTTTAGTGACGTTCGTGTGTGTGTGTGTGTGTGTGCGCGCGCGTGTGTTTGTGTTGGAGCAGATGGAGAAACAGCAGGACTTCGGAAACACAGGTCACAATCAGAGGACAGAAAACATGACATTAAACCCCTCCAGTAACACACACATCACCACGGCTAAACCTGGCGGACTATATCAGAGATTTACAGAGACTTTTGATCTGAACTGCCATCAAAAAGTCCTGCAGATGGGAAATAAACATATTAAATAAAAACGAGCGCACAGGAAAACTAAACAAACAAGACCTTGCATCCTTCCCAGCTGACAATTTTCAGTTCTTAAAACGTTCCTGTATCAATCTTAATAGGTTATAATAAATTGATATTATCGAATGTCATTAAAACGTTCAGAAAAGCCCATTTTTAGACGTTGTATTAACATCTATGTTTGGTTAGAAGCATAGATATATACACTGGATATCGCATAGGGACCCTGAGCATGCGTCAATAGCGCCGCCACATTGGTACAGTGCTCCCAGGACAAATGTCATTTAACCGCACTAGTCAAGACAGTGTTATTACGTGAAGATGCTGGACTTTAGCGCTGTCTACGGGAGTAGAGCAAACAAAGAAAACAAAGCACAAAGGCAGAACATTTCATAGGTAATATTAAGTTTTTTCTGTTTTTGTATGTTCTGAACTTTTGTGCTAATCAGGTAACGTTATTGATGATAACAGTCTCTTACTGCATTCACCATAAGGCAAAGCAGCTCCAACTCACACTAAACACTCGGCTTATGCTAGTTTTGTTGAATAAAATCAGCAAACAATGCAAAAGAAATATGACAACGAGATGCTGCGCTGCCAGAAACTTATATTATTGTCGGCTAATGTTAGTGAAAGAGTCGTTCGGGGGATTCATTCACAAACGAATCGCTCCCTCCGTCAGTATGAGAAGTGAAAGCAGGAGAGGAGGTGTGTTTCAGGACATGATTAGATCAAATTTAACAGGGAGGGTGAATAGTACATTTCTGTACACACAAACACAAGCTTTTTGTCAGGAATGCGCGTGCGGTCACTGATCCATCAATGTAGAAAAGTGATGTAAAATTATAATTTTCGTAATTAGAAAAAAAAATTACATACTAACATCCAGGAAAACTCCCGATCATAGATATATGTGTATATGTGTATATCTCTGGCTTTGGATGGCCACAGTCCTCCACTGTACCTTGGTCCCGCATTCATTTCAAAGGAGTGCTACCCTGTACCAAGATGGCGGCGCTATTGACGCATTCCGTCCAATAGACAACAATAGGCCAGGCGACATCTAATGTATATATCTATGGGTTAGAAGAACATTGCAAAAGTA